ATGTTTATATATGTATACTATATTACAATAATTAAATTCGAACAAAGAATAATTTATACAATAAATTTCAGTGAATCTCGACACTGAATACGACCACATTATAAAGATATAGAGATTAAAGAGGACCACTGGGCTTAAAAGTTTTGGAAAATAATAATAATAATAAATCCAGTTGTTATAATAAATATATACTGTAAAAAATAAATAAATAATAATATTGGTCTTTCTACTACATTCTTTTCTATTCACAAAAATTATATATCCCACATAAAAACCACAATTGGATATGAAAGCGTTATTTTTAAAATGAATGGCAAAAGTGTAGATTTTGTATCATAGAAATGTATCATAAAGCATTTAGTTTGTAAAATATTAAAAATATTGTGTGTAAAATGTATCAATATTTGGTTTCATTCATTAATTTGTTTTTATTTTCAATTTAGAAGTGATATAAACTCTCAAAACCAACTATTTACCAATACGGTACTCGATGTTTTAAAAAGATTACAAGCAAAAATTAACTCGGTTCCATAGACAAATCCACATGAATTTGAATTTTATTTCTGTTGAATATGTTGTTGATGGTGCTTAAGGTTTCCCTCACATATAAGTCGCCCCGGAGCGCCACGGCAAATAATAATAGACCGTGGTTTATACCCAAGTTAAGTTAAAAATATCGAAAATGATGGAAAAATAATTTATGAAAAGCAGTTTAATGTGAAATTAGACACTTATTCTCCAAGTATTAGTGAAGGAAAACAACAAAACCGTGAAAAACACAAAAAAAAAACCAGCAATATGACTGGTTTGTGAAAGACAACTACGTCTAAAAGCTAACACAGTTGCCAACTTGTGAAAAATTTCGAGGCTAAAGAAAATGACAAATATAATATATCCGTTATGCATTCAGAGCATAAAATGTGCAAAATGGCTACATACAAAAGGAGCGCAAAATTCCAAAGGTAAAAAGATATACCGATGGCTTAAGTGCAAAACGTCGTAACCCACAAAATTTCAAAAAATCGCTTTTCGCGTCATTGGAGTCGTAACTAAAACATACGAGATAGATCAACGTTGTCCAAACCATCGAGCAGAAAGAAACCAGTCAGCACCCCCACCAATGAAACAAAGTTGATCTACACAAAAAGCAAAGGGGGTTTGCATCAAAATATACGAAGCCTGAAAAATAGTTTCTGATATTGAAGCTCACTTGGAAACATCGGATCTTAAACCAGATCTATTGTGTTTTACTGAACATTGGCTTTGTTCCGAAGATTACTGGATATCAAATCCCGAGAAAACTCTGTTCGTGGATGAGCCTATATATGTATTCCCTTCGCAATAGAAAATATCTCATTATACGCCTATTCATAAAGCAGAAAAAACATACGTTGATTATCATAAGAGAGAAAAATATGGTTGACGTTTTGTTACGATCTACACACATTTAAGAAACTTTTATAAAGAGTAACCTTTTGTGTTTAGAAAGCTTGTTTATCGAATATCGTAGTGTAAACATAAAAGGTACATTTTCGCAATTTTTTCTTAAGTTATAACCGAGCAAATCGCATTTATAGATGTTTTGGGCCGTAAGACTAAATGCTTTAAATAATATGTCTACGCAGCTTGTAAAGGGACCTTTTGTATTTTGCGGTCACATGTAGTACTCGTTACGTTCTATAGAATGATACCAATATCTCGTTTTTTGAAAATAGTGCCCTTTTGCATGGTCTAATTTTGGATTACCTCCATTTTTAGAATCTTCAAAATAGTTTTCAATTCACACTAACAATTCAATATTTATATGTTTGCCTGCCAACAGCACTCACCTTACTCAACCCCTTGATGTGGCTTTCTTCATCCCAATGAAGAAAGCATGGCGACAAATTTTAGCATACCATAAGGCAAGATCAGGCACAGGCAAACAGTGCTTTCCTCGAATGTTAAAAAAACTTCTACATGCTTTGTCAGAAAAATCATCACACAACTTGAAAATTAGTTTCAAAAAATGAGGCATCAGTTATCCTCGTGACATAACGCCACTTCTTAAAAGACTTCCGTCAAGCAATGACACTAATTCATCTGAATTAATTGAAAACTCTTTTATTGGTTATTTAGAACATAAGAAAACTGAACTTACGTGCATCAAACTTAGAAAAAAGAAGCGCATATGAAGAATTGGGAGAAGTTTCAACAAATATATCAGTTAACTTCGCTGATGAAGAACAGCAAATTCTTCACAAACGCCATACAGAAAGAGAAGATGAAATGTTTCAGAGCTTTCTTGAAGAACTCCAAAAGGAAGCAGAAGAAGATGATGTATTCTCAAAGAGACTGGAAATTAATAATGCTTTTATTCAGGGAATCCACAACGTAGGGGAGTTAAAACAACTTTAGAAATACGTCATATTTTCCTATAAAAGTCAACTCTATCCTGATGGAGACATCTTTAAAGTCGTGGAGGTGGCCACAAAAGGAAGACAAACTCTTCTATCCTTGGTATGATATTACTGGAGCGAATAATCCTCTTAAACAGATTTCTAAACGGGAATTATTTTCCGTACCGCGAATGAAAGTTGCATTTAAGAGAAAATTATGAAAATCATAATACATATTTCACATCGCCAACTATTGCGAAGTCGTTAAAAAGTTTCAATGCTATAAAAAATATCTAAATATAAAAATCTATTAAAAAATGGAGCACAATATAGTCATTTTATTATGGAATATTTCGATCGTTTGTGGTTTTTTCTTTGTTGGGAAGAATTTGGAATGATATTGTTTCTAATATTAAAGCTCAAAATTTTAAAAATCAGATACTTTAAAAATTGTCAGTTCTTTTATCATAACATTTAGATTTAGGAACATATGACGAGTAGATAAAATCTTTTAATTCCAGTGAGTAAAGAAGTATGGCCAAAATTCACTATTCGTAAAAGACGGTTAAGATTAAAAATTAGACAAGATATCGTTAAATTTCAGGTACTCCATTATTAAGTGATGCCTTTAATTAATACATAAACTCTTACTCAAATTATTTGAGTTATTTTACTGCTAATAATGTCCGAAATAATAATATATATTATTCCGTATCTATATACAATCTAAAAATATTTTGTCGAAAGATTTAGGTACATAATTTTTGTTGATCTAATTAATGTATGGTCAGTAAAAGATACCTAAGGAATGTATTGATTCTTATTTTTGTTAAAATCTCTTGTGAAGAAACCTATACTTTATTCTACCATCAGAATGAAGTATAAAGTCTTATGGACCATGTATTTTTTGCCGATTTTAATGGATAACAATCATCTTTTTCCCATCTAAATCAAGTGACAAATAATTTAACAATAAATATTCTGCTTCGCACTAAAAGTTCAGATAATGGTGATTTCCAATCAACATATATCTACAGTGTGGATACTACTTATGGAATAAAATTATTTTTGCCTATATTTTATATTACAAAAATTGCTCGGACTCATCGATTTTTTATCCAAATTGTTCGTCTTTTAAAGTAAAATTGGAATTCATGTTTTTGCAGTAATATATAGGTGAGTTTTGTTAAATGAACGACGACATATGGGGTGTAATAATATGCGTAATTGCTAAATATTTCAATTTGTGTTATAGACACGCAAAGAAATTTCAAATAAAAGTTGTATAGATTTGAAAAAGACATACTTTAAAAACATTTTTGGATATGCCGGGTGTTACGCTTTAGCCTGGCATATAAAAATGTTATTTTTTGAATGGAACAATCTGTATATTATTACAATTTAATAAGTGTTTGAGTTTCCTGTGTTCAATAGTAGAATATGTTTGAAAAATATTACAGGGTTGCCAAGCAATTATGCAGACAATAAAAAACAATATCGTCATAATTTAGGTAGGTTTTAATATTATTTAATTTCCAAAGGGATTCATTTTATACCGAGTGTTTTGAAATAAATAATAAATGTGGTTCATTTTAAGTTCAATTTTTCAAACGCAACACCCTATATACAAGGTGATTCATATCTAATGTGACATAGGGTAAAGGCAGGTTATTTGGACCAAAATATACCTTAAAATATTGCTGTGGAATAAGCTACAGGGCGTTAAAGTTGAACAATAAACTATAATCTCACAGCAAAAATAATAATTTGTAATTACTGTTCCCTTTTACATTCCTATTTGTATACAGATAAGTACAGGAATCATGATTTTTTTTCGACCTGGTGTGTTCGACGGATTTTTACGTTTTGGGGTCCCCTGAATCCGTTTTGACTATTTTCGCGATGATGTCTGTGTGTGGCTCTATCCTCGATAACTCATGAACGGATACAAAAAAAACACCAAATTTTAAACTTAAGCTTTATTCCAGCCTGCGGTGAAATGATTAGATTTTGGGCAAAGTCGGAACATCTGGGGGTACTTTATAGGGTTAATTTTTGTATTTTATGGAATATATCCGTTATTTACGTTTGAAGAAGAAAATTTTTTAAACAAAAGTTGTTTGCGATATAATTCTCTATAATTCTTGCCTTATACATAATTTCTCTAAAATGGACCGTATTCGAGATATTTGAGAAAAAGTGTAAATCTCGAATTTTGAAGAAAACTCAAAAACAGATAAAGAGAAAAACATTAAATTTTAAACATAAGCTTTATTCCGGCCTGAAGTGAACTGATTAGATTTTGGGAAGAGTCAGAACATCTGGGGGAATACTTTATAGAGGGTCGTTTTTATATTTTATGGAATATATCCGTTATTTACGTTTGGAAAAGAAAATTGTTCAAATACAAGTTACTTCTTATAATATTCTCTATAATTTTTGTTTCATAGAAAATTTTCCTAAAATGGTCCGTATTCGAGAAATTATACAAAATGTAAAAAATTTAAATTTTTAAGAAAATTGTTCAAATAAAAGTTGTGTGTTACAATATTTTCTATAATTCTTATTTCACACATAATTTTTGTAAAATGGACCGTAAAAAATGTTTTTTCTGAATTCAATATGATAAACCAAATTGACAAGCCTACTCGCTTTAACCGAAGTATTGACGCCATTTTTTCAAAAATAACTGCATCTGCCACAAGATTTCAAATATGTACATTTCCGCTCCACGTCTCAGTTAATGAGAAACCAGAAATTTTCCATACACGTGATTTCTCAGACTATAACTTAATGTCTTTTAGAAATACTCTATTAAATGAGAACTGGAGGGATGTCTATAGTGCCAAAAGTACTAATGTGTGCTTTGAATCATTCTTCACAACATTTCAATACCATTATCAAAAAAATTTTACACACAAAAAAGTTAGAAATAATCATAAAACAAAATCTCCCTGGGTAACGAAACAAAACAATGAATTACATCATATGGTAGGTGAACTATGCAGTATTGCCCGCTCTACTGAAAATGAAGTGAATATATCAACCATAGAATTAAATATCAACAATGAAAACACCAAAGACAACAATATGTTAGTAAATTACTTTAATGACTTCTTTGCGAGTATTGAAAAACCAAATCCAAACTATAACAAAATACAATTGCACCTTTCTCAGAATGTTCATTATTTTTATATCCAACCATACCAAAAGAAGTTCATGAGATTATAAATTCTGTAACAAAAAAAAAGTGCCCCAGGAATAGATCATATACATGGAAAAACTGTAGGAGTGGTAAGTGATCTTATATCATACATTATTAATAAATCTTTCTGCGAGGAAGTGTTTTCCGACAGTCTAAAAATGTCAAAATCCGTACCCGTCTACAAAAATGAGGGGTCCAAATGTGACATAAATAACTATCGTAATAGTATAGTCTGCAATCACAATTTGCCAAAATCATAGACTATGCCTACTACCTGAGATAAAAGAAATTTGTAGAACATCACAAGCTAATACCTGAATGTCAACATGAGTTTAAGACATAAAAGATCCACAATGACAGTTGTATGAATTGTGTAATAATATATATGACAACCTAAATAAAGGGAACTATCCAATAGCTTTATTCTTTGACCTGACTCGAGCATTCGACACAATTGACTACAATCTACTCATAGAATTACTGTGTCGAATCGGAATCAGGGGAGTCGCTCTTGATTGGTTAAAATCCTATCTTACAAATTGTAGCTTTGAAGGATGTAAAATCGCAACCCAAATCAATATGTATGGGAGTACCACAAGACTCCACTCTTGCTCCTCTGCTCTTCATTATCTTCATGGCAGACATAGAACATGCAAAAATCAACAACAAATAATTATATATGCTGATGACACCACTCAGGTAGTAGCCAACAATCGATTTCAACACACAGTGGCTGATGCAAATCAAACTGCTGACGAGTCTAACACATGGTGTAAAAATAATTTCCTGGTTAATAAAAAAAAAAACTGTATTCATGCTATTTCAGCCTAAAAATGCATCATACCTTTAATTAGAATCAACCATGCTACAATAGAACAGATCAGATTTTTAGCAGAGTCGGAACATCTGGTGAGGGGGAATTTTATAGGGGGTCATTTTTTATATTTTATGGAATATATCTGTTATTTACGTTTGGAGAAGAAAATTCTTCAAATAAAAGTTGCTTCTAATATTATTCTCTATAATTTTTACCAAATACAAAATGGTCCTTATTCGAGAAAATTGACAAAATGTACAAAATTCTTATTTTTAAGAACCGTTACAATTTACATCGGATCGGTGGCGTAGGCGTCTAAAGTACTCGTATTCATTTGTGAGCAATTTTGTGGTTGAGAGACACCCGGCTTCGACTCCTACAGAATTTATTTGCATGGTTCTCTAAAGGATTCGATGGATGCCGTATTAGCAGAAATTTAATTTCTGTTGATATGTCAACCAGATTACAAAAATCTCCATGCGTTACCGTTTCTATGATGGTGGGTGAATTTTGTTCGGGTTTTCCTCACCTGTAAGTCAAATGGCACCATCAATCATCTTTAAGTCGCCTTGGAGCGCAACGGCAAATAAGAATAGCCGTCCCTTCCTCTACAGTGGTTCGGTCGGCTTCAGGGGTAGAAATTCACTCGCAAGGGTGTGAATTAGGGAGAGTATTATTATTATTATTATTACAATAATACATTGTTTTTTAGCCCCCTAAGGAAAACTAAAATGAAAAGTAACGCAATGAAGTACTATTACTGAATTTTGAATAAAATTGCCCTTTTAATGTGTTACAAATGGTATAATCATTGAGAAAGTGGAAAGAAGGAAGTTGACATATCATGAAAGACGTCTATATTGAAAAGAGATATCTTATTTGGATTAAAACTCGATTTGCTTCAGCATTTTTTTTTTTTATCTAATAATTACTACCAAATTTCGGGTGGACTGTTTTCAGTGGCCCATTCTGTATATTATTACTTTTAAATGTTTTATTTATTTCAAATTAATTTTATGGTTTCTTCAGATAACTGAAATAAATAAACAATACATTCCCTAGATGTTTTCATTTGCGTGTGGTTTCATATTTTATAAATAAACGTACACAATATAATTTTTTTTACAAGAGGTATTTCTATAATAATGGCAAATTTGCATTAATAAAGAGGGACTGATTTTTGGCATCGATATTGCACATTAAATAAAAAAATATATTTAGCCATCAAATTTGGACGCTATATTTTTTTATATGGGATGTTTAGACACCCTGAACGATTAAATCTATTACTAATAATCATTAAAATTGCCTAAATTCAGTTAGGTCATCTAGAAAGTGATGATATAGCGATATTTTTAATGACCTTAAAACACTTGTAACTTGATTTTCTGAAATTTAAAATTCATCAAATTGTAATTCATCAAATTTAATAACTGTTTTTAAAAACCAGTCTTGGATTTTTTTATATTGATGTATTTCGTTGTTAATCACTGGGGCAAAAGCATCTTTTCATCGATTCTCTATCTAGGTTTACAGTTAGTAATAAAAATTTCTGACATAATACCGGTTTTTACAAAGAATACCTTGGATGTGATGGAATCTTGAGTCTTGAGGATTTATACGGAATGTTTAACGAGTTGTTCTACCACAAGTATTACATTTCTTCGAGCTGTTCCATGACTTCAAAATCACGATTCTTTGGAAGACAAACAAATGCCTTCAATCTTAAGGAAAACACAGAAAAATGCACTTTTGGAAGGTGTTGCAAATAATTATGAGGCTAGTCAACTAACTTTAAAGCACAATGTACAGGGTTATTGTTTATAAATTACCCACCCATCATTGTTAACAGAAGTGTAATAATTGTCATTACTAGTAGTAAAATAAAAAGAATTACATAAATAGTATTAAAAAGTATTACATGTTTTAACTAAATATTCAAATAGAAAACACACGTATTGAAATAAATCAAACAATTAGGATATTAATCCAGTCAATGACTTACATTGAAATAAAGAATTATCGAATACACTGATAATAATTAACCCGTTAAGTAAATTTTGGTTTAAATAGACTGTCGATAGTTGAGTAAGGGCTGTTACTCGAAACGGCATACTCTAAATTTAAAGAAAAATAAGTTAAAAAAATTAGAAATAATATACCCACTACATTTTTGAGGGGTGCATTAGGAGTGAAATACTGTACATGATGCACTCAACAATATTAATATTACCTAAGAATCTAAAAACAGAAAGAAATTTGCAGCTTGTTATTTCCCAGTCCTTCAAAATATCTACTGGTTAAGTTTAGATAATGAATTTATAAACGTATTTAGTATATTTAAAATGATAAAGTGCATTAAAAATATCCGTCCGTCACTGACCGAAAAACTTTACCCACTTAAACTGGGCGGGGTAACATATCGTCGGTATACAAGACCAAGTCGACCGATAGTAGTTTTGTATTATTAGTCTTTTAATGAAAAACTCTTTTAAGAAAAAACTATCAGCATTCATAAACGACCGCAATTGCAATTTGGGTTTAGAGAACAAATCTCCGTTCTGGTACCAACTACACTGCTGGTTTCCAATATGCAAAAAACAAAATTGAACAATAAAAAATCTGCCATTCTCCTGTTGGATATCAAAAAAGCCTTTGACTGTGTCTGGCACAACAAATATAACTTCTGATGGTCTTATATTTCTTATCAAAAACTTCCTTCAAAACAGAACTATAAGTGTTAAAATAAACAACCACACTTCTCCAAGTTTCATAGCAAATTAAGGTGTACCGTAAAGGTCGCCACTCTCCGCTCATATACAACATATATTGCTTTGATTTTTTCTTAGGTCAGTTACACCCCTGATATCGCATGGTAATACACTGAATCAAGCCATCACAGCACTCAAAAATCAATGTAACAAAGTTGCTCAATGGCTCAATAAATAGAGATTACAAGTTAACTCAAAAAATGTCAATTAATGATCATGACCTAAGATCGACATTACCTACACTCATCATATCTAACCAACCAATCCATCCCATATCCTCAGTGAAATACCTAGGCCTTATTATTGATAATAAGCTGAACTTCAATGACAAAAACAAAATTAAAGCCTGAGCCAAACATTTCCGTTCCTTAACATACGAAAAAGAAGGCACATCAACACCTACACGGGCACTAAAATCTACAAAACAATATGCAGACCTCTCCTGGAATACGAACACAATATGAATTTAAACTGCCAAAAACCTGCATTAAAAAATATTCAACTGGCCGAAACTTCTACACTAAGAATCATTACCAAGATGCGACATCCAGAAAACCCCATCCAGGGAATAAATATATCTACGAAAAAACTAAGATTCAGCCTATCCCGGAAAGAATCAGAAAACTGTCAGAAACATTTTTGAAGAAATGAAACAATCAAGTGCTAAGACACATTTTTTTCGATTCAACACCAAATTGGACAAGCAAAGTTTTTTTTAAGTACCTTAATGTTCTTAATATTCCTACTCATCTTACACACATAGCCTGTAAATCTTCACACACACCATACAAATTATACTGGCTGAAGCAGTGGCGCAGCCAGAATTTTGAATTAAAGAGGGTTTTAAATAAAAATTGCGAGTATTTAAAAGAATTTTTACCTAGTTTAACTTTTTAAATTTCAAAATTGTCTGGATTCGCGTCTGGGTTTGGGGGAAGGGGGGGGGGGGTCAACCCTTAAACCCCCCCCCTCGCTGCACTACTGGGCTGAAGGACCACTTGGTTGTAAAATTTATAACCAATAAAGTGCTTTTATTATTATTTTAGTATTTAAATCACTTGCTTTTTATTATAAAATCAAATCAATTATTTAGACATTATGGAATTTTAAATTGTAAGCATTTTTTATGGCATTTTCTGAGTCGTTAATTTTTTCCTGATAAATAATAATGAATTTAAGATATATGGGCATTACAAACTAAAAAATTAAATATTTTGGACTTGGTCACTTTCCTTTATATACCGACGATATGCTGTCCCAAATTTTCGTTGGTCTGTGTCTACCAGTCTACCCCACAGCTTCTTTCTGCAATTGCAAGAACAATGACAACAAATTATCTAAAGGTTATTGCGCAGACGTGCAATGCAAACTGCCACAATTTCTCTTGCAATTTCGAACTGTAAAGTGATTCTCATGGATTTCCAAGTGATATAGAACTTTTTATCGAGGATTCTTTTTTGTGTAATAAGCTAAAACTTTATTCCCATATACATAAAACTTTTTGGTACATACTGTGTACATATATTCAAATATTTGTGTAGTTTTGATATCCAAAAAACAACTTGTTGGAGGAACAATTCTTTTAAACAACATTCCGTTATGTAATTTTTGAAATTACATCTCTGCAAGCAAACTAACACACCTCAATAATTTAGGAACGTTTTTTTAACTGTCAAATCCATTATACTTACTTCAGTTATTTCGTTCTGACAAAGTTTATTATTTTTCAATTGTGAATAACTATATTATCAGAGTGACATAATTTGTGATCCACTGACAGTTAACTTCTAACAAAAACAAACTATTGTCATTAAATTTGACATACGGTGTCGGCCACTGAAAGTCTTCCAATACGCGATAAAACAAAAGCGAGAGAAGGATACAGAGAGTTGGAATTGGAGTAGCTGGAAAAGGAATGGTATCAATGTTGCCATTTATACGAACCGACCGCGTTGAAACGTTGGCCAGGCCGTGTAGGCCGGCATCGCTGCTATTATTTTTTTCCTGCTTGCCCTAGTGCTGGCTCTCTGTAGTTTTCACATGCACTTGTGCTAAGGGTTATTGGAAGATGTTCGATGGCCAATACTGTATATATGTTTTTAGTTTTTTTTTTTAGTATTATTTTTAGGTTGTAAAAAAGTGGTTTAAATGCATGTAATACCTATAATCTCTCTTTTTATAAGTCTACTGTCATCGTCAATTGAACACAAATTACGTCATCACTAATATCACTATCAAACATCTTATTCGCTCCGTGCGAAGTCATGGAAAGGGAAGCAAAAGCGATACTAGCGCTAGCTGCGGATAATTCGTGCATTTTAGGGGGATATTTTGTAATTTTGGCATATCAAATACACGTATACATTTTACTTTTTTTCAAAAAAGTAGGTAAAAACAACACAATAAGCAACCGGAGTTGCTGTGTTGAAAATTGTACAAATACTAGCAAAAAAAAACAGTGAAACTTATATAACAAATTTCACTAACAAAGTGGAAATTAAATCAAAGAAATAAATGGAAAGGTGTACAATAAGAAGAAAAATTACCTTTATTTTTGTGATAATAACAGTAATGCTGGAAATAGTAGACATCAGAAACTAGAAAGTTTTTAAATAAACAATAAATTATCATTTTACGATGTTCTTTAATATCCCTTTATTCTTAAATGTTCATTCAGCAAGGACTAGATTTCAAGATTTCAGCCGTTGATTATAATATTTGGCTGGTATGCAATTTTGTGACTTACTGATCGGAAACCAGTTTTAATCATTCATTCTATGTTTTCTTTAGAACAAAAATGAAAATATAAGTAGCGATCCTTTTTAACTTCACGCTATTATAAATGGTTTCTTCAATGACAACTTATTAGACTTAGGCAACTTCTCATACATTTTCCAGTAAATACTGTTGCCTGCCTATATTTTATTATTGATTTTTAATGATTATACATAATTTTCTTCAATTTAAGCGTGAAAAATATATAATAATAATAAATTAATGTTTTAATTGTTTTATAAATCCATATACTTTTATTAAAACTAACATATATACTTTTTATTTACGAATTCTATTAAAAATTGTATTTGTCAGTATAGGCAGAAATACTCCTTTAATACCAAAACAAATTGGCGCTGCTGTCGCGCACGGAGCGAATAAACAATGTAATAGTAGTTACCAAACGTATCAATTTATCCTACAGTGTGAAAAATATATAAATATCGCTATATCGTCAGCTATTCCTTCTCCTAACTTCTTAATCCATCTTTTACCTCCCATTTGCATCTACCTTAAATGATAATTTACAGAGAGTGAAAATTATTAATCAGTGCACTAACACATCTTTAGTATCCGACGTACTGCCTTGCCTAGTAGGACTTAACAGTTCTTGTCTGTCCCTCTCCCTTTCTCTGCCCGGCCTAAAAGCTTCCAAGACTGCTTGTACTCGGTCTTCCGTAGGTTCCCACCGTTGGTGTCCGGCGGGGTTCTGTAGCCATACTATCACTGTAGCGTGAACCGATCGGATGTTCAGTTCAGATCTAAAAATAAATATATTTAAAACGATAAATGAAATTGATGGTCGTATGGAGAAACAAGTAATTTTAGCATTCAACATACTTGCTCAAAACATGTTGGAATCCATGTCTAAATTCGTGTTCGTATGCTGGTATGGTCACTTGCCTTCTTTTGAATTGACTAGTTTCAAGCCTTGTTAAGGCAATAGGTGTAGGTTCTCGATAGTCAGGCATCAAGACAATGAAACTCAATGGTTCTGGGCTATCGTTTAATAACCTTTCCATATGATCTACCGAGGCTTCCATTAGCTCTTCACAATAAGGAGGATTTGCTTCAAAGGAACCCGATACAGCCTTTAGTTTTAGAAACGATCTAAATCATATAAGAAAAAATATTTAGAAACAATAATGATTAATTTCATTAAAAGTGAATGTCAGAATTTCACTAAAAAACTATACTATACTAGAACAAAATATTGGAAAAGGTGAGTCACATGCATGATGAACACTGTTGTCTATGAATGAAAATTCCGACGGAAAGTAACAGAGTCAGCATAGGCGGCGTATCAAATAATTATTTATTAGGTATTTGTTAGTAAACTTTATTAAATTTGTTTGTCAACATCTTTATTTAAACGTTAAATATACGTTTTTGATAGTTTTCAAGAAATGAATATATTTATTTCCTAATGACTTCGTCATCTGTGTTTAATGGTTTTAAAAACACCGCTTTTAAAAACGTGTCATCTCCGTTCTTGGCAATTTCGTTGATCGTTACATTCATTTAGTTAGACAGACAAAAAAAGTCCGTCCATGTGTGGAACAGGTAAAGAGTCAAAACCGCTAAATCAGTTTTAACTCTGCAATAGAGAGTAAAATTTTGTAAGATGATACCCTAGTATTTGGAGGCGATGACAAATGAATGTGTTTCAAGTAAATAAACGACAGACGGCTTACAGATTGAATATTATCAGCACAGGCACAATGAGTTGAAAACTAACTTTCGACGAAGTTAGATTTGTAACGCTTTAACTATTTAAGATCATTATTTTATAAACACTTTTTTTGTAACAGTGCTCTTTTCTGATATACGAGTAGGTGTTCATGTTTGTGCCTTACAATTTGGTAGTGGTAGTGCATATTCGAGGAGTTATATTTATTGTGTAGTATATTAGGTAGGTACTTTAAAAGTTTATTAAATAGTAAAATATTGGTGTCTTTATAAATTTAATAAAAACAATTTAATAGTAGAATTATATTGTTACAATAGTAATAGATTCAGAGGCGGGTCCAATTGAAACCCAATTACGTCGGCGAAAGTCCTTATCAAAGGATGAAAAGAACATTATATGGAAAGTGTATGATGGGCTGAAACAGACAGTTTCTACAAATGAAGCTGTAAACCGCAGTTCTTTTTTAACTGGAGTATCTGTTTCAACAATTGAACGTATTGTACGCGAAAAGACAAAAAAAAAGGCTCCTTAGAAGCCCCTAAAACGCATACCCGTGGTCGAAAATTGTTGAAATTTAGACGATAACAAAAAAAAATCATTCTAAGAACTGTACGTTCTTTTTTTTTTCGAAAACAAAGTCCCAACACTGAAAGTTGTTCTTACGAAATTAAGAGAAAACGAAGAAATTCCATTAATGAGCCGTGCAACTTTAAGAAAAATTTTATGGGGCCTAAAATTTCGATTTGTCAAACGGTGTAGGAAATCAATTTTAATTGAGAGGTTATGATATAGTGTCCTGGCGACGGCGTTATTTACGAAATATTAAAGAGTTTAGAGCCACTAAAAAAAAGTTATACTATCTCCATGAAACGTGGGTGAATGCTGGACACACGGTATCTAAGATATGGCAAGATACTTCTGTAACTAGTCATCGCCAAGCTTTTATAGAGGGATATTCTACAGGTTTGAAAGCACCATCAGGTAAAGGACAGCGCCTAATTGTTACCCATATCGAAAGTGACAGTGGATTTTTGGAAAATAGCGCTCTTGTGTTTATATAGAAAAAACAGGAGACTACCACGAGGACATGAATGCGGAATGCTTTGAAAAATGGTTTACTGAAGTATTACAGCGTGTAGAACGAAATTCAGTTATTGTACTAGATAACGCTTCTTATCACAGTCGACGAGTTGAACGCATTCCGATAATGTCCAGTAGAAAAGCGGATATGCAAATCTGGCTGTGGGATAAAGCAATAACATTTACTGAGGAGATGCTTAAAGTGGAAGTAATGGACCTAATAAAGGAACACCGCCATAAATATATTCAATATGTTGTCGACACAATGGCTCGTGATCGTGGTATTACGGTACTAAGACTTCCCCCTTATCACTGCGAATTCAATCCTATTAAACTAATTTGGGCGCAAGTGAAAGGGTTTGTAGCTCGAGAAAATAAAACTTTTAAAATACCCGACGTTCAAAGTTTATTAAAACTGGTATAGAACGTATAAAACCTGAAGATTGGCAGAATGCTATTTCCCATGTAATTAAGGAAGAAAATAATGTGGCGCTTGGACGGTATAATCGAAACGGTAGTTGAACCTTTAGTCATAACTTTAAGTTCCGACGATAAAGACGATTCCAGTGATAGTTCTGCAGAATCAATGGATTACGAAACTTCATAGATTAAGAATTCAAGTAAGTGATACCAAGCTTAATTTACATATTTTTATAATAAACAAAATACAATTATAAACATAGATGAATATTATAACAAAAATAGATAACCAACCTACTTTAATCTAGTAATATTCACAAATACCCATTTAATTTGCCAATATAGTATTTCTGCGACACTGGAAGAGTGCATTTTGATATGATAACGATACCTTTTGCAGTTTTAAGACGCACCTTCTTCAATATTTTGTTCTAGTATAATACCCCATTTAATTTTCCAATAGTGTTTCTACGCCACTGGCATAATATTTACATATTTTAACAATAAACAAAACAAAATTATAAACAAATGATTATTATTACAAAAATAGATAACCAACCTACTTTCATCTAATATTATTTACTATTACCGCATTTAATTTGCCAATAGTTTTTATACGCCACTAGCGTAATACATTTTGGCAATAAACACGCATTTATGACTATTTGGCACGTGATACCGATAACATTTTTTATCTTATTTTTGTTATTAAAAAAATTGAAATATTTACCCTCTGCTACCAAAATATGAATCACAGTCTGCAAACGCGGAGCAGTACTGTTTAAAATAACAGTTTAAGGGCGAAGCAAAACATTCAAAGGTCACTCCAAATGCCCTGTTTAGGCACTCAAAGACAGTAACAGGTACGGATTGTTGCATATCCTGGACATCAGAGCTGGCTGTATTGGGAGAGGGATTCACTCCTAGAAATGTGGCATACCTTTTTAACATTACCCATACTCTAGGAATGAAAAGTTCAAATTTTCTATCATCAAAACAGCTGTGTCTATAGAGGTGTTCCTAAAAAAAGTTATAAAAAAATCATGAATAGTAAACAATACAAATTTGTTGATAAAAGTGTTGTTACAAACTTTATGAAAAGAGAAAAAAAACAACTATTTGGTAGATAAGTCAAAATTGTAAAATAAATTAAAATAACATCACAAGGTAGACTCTGTTTCACGAGAGAAGAACCCAGCTGAAGTTGCAACAATGACAACAGTTGTAGAAACCAAATTATGTCTTGTTAACCTACGTCGCTTAGTAACGACATGGTCACGCCACTGAGGTAGAACGAACATTTTTATGCCAATAGCCATTTATTTATTTGTTAGCAGGCGAGTTCGGATAGTCAGAGGCTGGAGCGGGACAAAAGCGGAGTTTTTTAGGGTGCTTTTAAATGACATTTAAGCGTGTTAAACTGTCACCAATCGGACTAAACCGAACGCTAAAATGGCCGTTTGGAGTTAAAAGTGTTAAAGGAGTTAAAAGAACGTGGCAGACCGAACGCAATGAGCGACGTTAGCGTTTGACATTTAAGGTTATGTTTTTGGAATTGCCTATTTCTTAAATATTTTTGATTTTTGACTAAAACTTGTTGGTTTAAAAGAAAAAATTATCCATAGTCAAGGTCGGCATATTATAAAAAATATATTGTTATAACTCTCATTATTATAAAAATCCTTCTACTTACTAATTTTTGCAAGTGGCTACTGTTAATTGCCAAAGTATCTCCCTGATATCTTAATAAAGCCTGATCTCTATCAGGTAAATAGTCAACAACAGGTAGCCTTGGGCAACCTATAGCAAATTGCACAGGATAGCACCAGACTTTTCTTGTTGTATGCATATTCATATTTGGTGGTAGTTCCATGCCATGTTCTTTCAATATGGAGTTAGACTTTTCCCTAATTTTTTTTGCATATTCCAGCGAAAGATTGTACATTTTAAGGCATATACCTTCTACAGAAGTTTTTACCTACAAAATTAATAAATAGATTCATAATCAATAAAATTTTTACCCAAGTAGTCAATATTTCAAAATAAACAATTATTCGTTGAAGAAAAATCATCTTACTGTTTCTGTGAGATGAGGCTGACACTGTTGTTTAAGATGTGCAAGACGATCTTGAAAATCATCATAAGTCGCACCCACCGTTTTTCTCAGCCATTGAAACGTTTCGTCAACATTCCATTTGACAACTTTTCGACTTTCTGCTTCAGCGTTTCGAGATTCCATAATTTTTTTTGCTGCCTCTGCATATCTTGACAATTGTTTCCGAGCGTCTCCAGTAAATTTCGGACGTACTAACTTGATTGGGATATCATTCATAATTTCTTTGTACATAGCGAGTGATATTTCGGGGTAGCAGTTACTAGGAAATAGAGGATCATAACCTTAAAACAATTAATAAAAATTAAATTGTAATATATTTATGTATAAGTACGGACAAGCATTTATAGGATGTAAATTTGGGGTAGTTGAAAGTTGAGTGATTATCAACGAACCAACAAAAATCTGATGTTGCATTAACAAGAAAAATCAATTTTCAATGAATAACTAATTCAAAATGTATCAAAGCTGCTTCTCATCATAAATCAGCAGTTTGGTTACTGCTCAGAAAAGTTAAACAACCTGTTGAAGTAAGTTTCTTTACTTATCAAATCATCAAGTTCATGCTACATTCACTGATTTCTCAATGGCTTTCGATAGGGTCAGGAACAGGGTAATAACCTTGGCATTGCTGCTAATCTTCTGAACTGAAGCTTTATTTTTTACCAACCACATTCAAATTGTTTGTTTCTAATTTTTTATCATCTGGCTTTATCGCTACATCTGGTGTCCCTCAAGGTCCACATTTTATATACAACAATGACATTCGAAATGGTTTTGAGAATCCCCAGTTCAATAATGTTTATTGTCAAAACTACAACTTATAGACAAACACTAATGGCACTCCTCACTACTGTCTGCCTAACTGTGCGGACTCTAACAAACCATTCCCATAGTATACTAGAGTCTAGAGTGCCAGCGTCCACTTTGTCTCCCGAGCTTCCAGCATGCGCGTATTGAATTTGTCGCTGCTGATAGTCTTGTTGCCACTTTGTTTCAGTTTGTACTATAGTCGTCATAGTTTGTGGTTGTTGGAGTCTATGCCGGTTGGCGTAGCCAGGCATGGGTTTAATATTTTCTAGGAAAAGTTGTTGCTTCGTCCTCTTGTTTCTTTGAAAATGTATTTTTTATAGAGTTTTAATGTTAGACAAAGAGTTGCTACTGTTATTTTTTTTTTGTTGAACCCCAATTTTGTCTTTGTAAATGTTTTTATAGGATACTAAACGTTTAGAACAGTGGCAGCATATATACCGTTCCTAGTGCCGATAAAGCACTTTCTAGAGATAGTACTGTACTGCAAAATAAAAAGAGAAAAGCTGAAATCAAAGGATGAGGTAATACCATGTAAATTCCCAAATCTCCCTTTATATTTGTATTACAACAATAAAAATTCTGTTGACTGTGTTTTATTTTGCGCTTAAAACTATATATAGGTTCAATTCAAAAAAATTTGCCACAAAATTGTACTTGTAGTCCAGGGAAGTTAGGAAAAATAGCGGACCTTTTTAGGGACAGCAGCAAAATTTAGGCATTTAAATGTTTCAAAACTGAAAACAATGTATAAAACATACTTGTTAAATCTAAGAACCACATAACACATCAAAGTTACAGACCAATTTGTTTGTTGTACTCTTAACAGATACTCTGCCGGTTAAATATTGGATATTTCATTAAAATTTTTTTTTTCCATTTTTAGGTTTAAGTGGAAGAACATTTTTTGGAACTGTAGGAATGCAAAAAATGAACTTCTCCCCTTATTTCAAATGTAAATTTATTTTTATTGTACGAATATACATGTGAACTTTTGATTTGAAATAATAAAGACGATATTATTATTATTATATCGAGATGTTGTTTTCTGCATTTGTTCAAGAATTGTCTATATCGTTTGGTTTAGCCATTATTTGAAAAATGCCTTCCGGGCCGGAAAATGCATTTTCCAATTGCATCATTACTTGCACCATTATAGGAACGACTGGAAATTCGGAAAAATCACTCGGAAATCGTTACACGGGGGTTTTCGGGGCTGCCGAACTCGATTCTGGCATTAGAATTACCCGGGGGCGTTCGGCGGGTGGCTCTGTAGGGTTGTCTGGGGGGAGGGGGGAATGGCAGCGTCCATGAAAATCCCTCCAAAATCGTTACTCGGAGGATTTCGGGGATGCCGAATTCAATTTTGGCATTAGACTTCCCCGGGGGCGGCTCTGTGGGAAATGGTAAAGGAGCAAAGTGAAAAATCACAAATTATGAAAATAATACTTTATTCAAATAACAAATAAGAGTTTTTATTAATGTTGAATTATTCATTATAAACTTAAATACTAAACATCTTGTTCAAACTTTTCTTCTTCTTCCCCTTCTTCATCTTCTTTCTCGTCACTATTTTCGGCCCCGTTGGAAGTGCCTTTTTGGTTTGAGAAATTGCCATCAAAATTGAATTCGGCATCCTCGAAAACCCCCCGAGTAACGAGTTTGGAGCGCTTCCCATGGACTATGCAATTTAATCCCAGAATGACCGCCCCGGATACCCCCGCAGAGCCGCCCCCAAGTAATTCCAATGCCAGAATTGAATTCGGCAGTAAATATCTCAAATACAAAAACCACGGTCGTTCACTGTACTTGGTGATTTTTATTTGAATTTGATCAAACAGTATACTGCACTTCGTCCGAAGGATGTGAACCTGGAGAGATTTTTTATTAAATACCAGAACGGTAAATGTCACCGCGTGGTAATGGGTATACATAAAATTTCAAACGTACCAAATGACGTCGCTACGTTTTTGTAATTACCAAATTCTCATGAATATACGGGACATTGCCTTCGGAGGACTTCCGCCACTATTTTAGTTGACAACGGTGGGGACATTACCGCATTAAAACGACACTGTGGATGGTAATCCACCAGAAAAAATAGTATATATTACTCGGAGAAAAAGGCTTCATTATTATGTGTTCCGCTCAGATTACACTGTCTCGGCTAGCGCCTCGGCAGTAAACTTCTGAGCTCAACACATAATAAGCGCCTTCTACTCCTAGTAATATAATATACTATTTTTATCTTAGGTTTTTATTAGGTTGTCCTATTTAAATAAAGATTCTTCTTTTTCATTGGTGAAGTTTTTGGTGATTCTGTAAACTAATTTGTAGTTGTTGCCAATTTTATAAATATTTTGGTATAGAATTCCGGAAATTACCGAGTTTTATATTTTATAGGTAGAACTTGTAAAATAACGTTGGAATATTTTTGAATATTTTGAAAGCCCTTTTCGATTTTTGTAAACAAAATTGGTCTAGTAGTTTTTCGTCATTGATAATAATAAATCATTATTATTCCTTTTTGATCATTGTACAATATTGTAGGATGTGCCAAAATACAAAAAGTTAATAAAAAACATACAATAGACAATGTGATCCAAAATTATATACCGTAATTGCTAGGGCTTATAGTACATTCAAAAATAAAGACTTTTCAGGTACATTTTTTTAAAAATTCAATATTAATATTTTAAGGAATAAATGTAAAAAAAACAAACTCAAATTCTATATTGTGTTGTTCATAAGCTAATATTTTGAAGCCTACGAGGCATTACATGACTATATTTATGTACTTCGCATTAATGATAACTTAGAAAATGAGCAAAACAAAGTTTATTTCAATTAAAATAATATATACCTAAAGTAAAGAGACAACATTAGTCAAATAATCAATTCTAGACAATAATAAATAAAATTAGAGGTTAGGTGTCAACTTACATTTTATTTCTATTATTTTCAACATTGTATTCATATAAAAGCAATACCACTGAAATTGGTAATAACAATAAAAATAATTTGATCACAACCCTTTAAACTACTTTGTTACAATCTGTTAAATAAACTAAAATGATTATGTCAAAATCAATGAGAGAATTGTTCGTTTTTGTTTGGCTTACTGATGTCATACTAATGCCACATATTACCTAAAATACATGTTAACTTCTGCTTAAACATACCAGTGTCAATGACTTTCCTCTCCATCAACCACCTATTAAAAGAATCCTTAGGGGCATCGATGGATTCCCTTGAATGGCAAACTTCTTGATAGCTTTGCCTCAGTTTTGATAATAGACTACACCTGTAAGCCTCAACTTCAGGATGTGAATGCATGTAAGAACATGGAGCTCTTTCTAAAATATGGACAAAATGAATAAACACAAATGTGCTAAAAAAATTAAAAAACAGGTTTTTTTATTCAGAAATCATATTTTAAAGCCATAAATAGCAAGAAAAGGAACTGAAATTAAAAAAAAAAAATTATGTACTTAATAATAAAAATATTAGGTGTCCAACACATGACTTTCTCATGGAGTGTTCAAAAATATTGAGTAAGGTCTACCCTCGGGTCCAGTTAATCAATAAAAAAGATATAAAATATATGAATTAATGATAAAAATTATTAAAATTTTTTTTTTTTAATATTTTCCCTGAATTCAAGAATACTGAAAAATTTAAAGTTTGTCCATACTGATTACCAAGCAACTTTTTACTCCCATGGTTTCATGTCTTACATAAACACTATTATGAGGCCACAAAGTAAAACATTCCTGGATCATATATTCTTAAAAAACAATATTAAGACTAAAAATCTACCGGTGAACTCTTATGTAATCAGCTATGATATGACTGATCATGATCCTATTATGACAAATATCTCACAATCTGCCAAAAACTACACAAGTTCCTACAATACATATAAAACTATAACTAAAATCGATACTGATAAATTAAAACAAAAATTCGAAACTGTAAACTGGCAAAGTGTTTGCAATGAAAATAATCCAGAAATTGCAACACAACTTTTTTATGACACGTATCTTAATATCATTGAAACATGTCAAACCACTCAAAATATTAAAATAAAAATCCATAAAAAAAATAAAGCCATGGATAACAAATGGTTTAATTAATTCTATTAAAACTAGGGATAAACTTAAAAAAGATCTACAAAGAAAAACATACTATTAACAAACAAACTCACTATAAAACATTTAGAAATAATTTAAACAAACTAATATCAAAAACTAAAAATGACTATTATAACAATAAAATAAACCAAAACAAAAATGATCTGAAAAAAACTTATCGATTAATCTCTGAAGCAACTAATGAAAATCATAAAAAAATAATATCAATTTACAGATTGTTAATCAACATAATGAGGACTTTGAAAATGATAATGAAATGGCGAATTAATGCAATAACTAGTTTTCGACTATTGGCACTAATATGTTCACAGATATCCCTGAATGTAATGTGGATTTTCCTGTGTCACTGAAAAATCAATGTTTCTGAATACGATATGCGAAAACGATATTATAAAACACATAAATAGTTTAAAAAATAATAGTCCTCCGGGATTTGATTGTATAACAGTAAAACATCTGAAACTACTACATCCGTATTTACTGGAACCTTTAATGCATAAAATTAATTGTATTTTTAATACAGGAATGGTACCTAAACAATTTAAAACTTCAATTATAAAGCTAGTAATCCAAAATTAATAACTAACTATAGACCTATTAGTTTAATTAGTAATGTGGCCAAAATATTTGAGAAATGTGTGAAAGATTGACTGACAGATTTTTTAAAAACTAATGACTTACTTTCCAAGAACCAATATGGCTTTACTGAGGGTCTTAACTCAGGAGATGCTATGCTTGAATTGATTTGATATGTTACTGATGAAATGAATACTGGTAACAAGTGTATAGCTATATTTCTAGATCTAGCAAAAGCATTTGACACGGTGCCACATCAGAAGCTCTTAAATGTTCTTGAATAGAATGGAGTGAGGGGCATCGTGTTGAAGGTTTTTGAAAATTATTTGACACACAAACAACAGAAGGTAAAGGTCAGAGACAATGTGAGTAACCTTGAAAATATACAAATCGGAGTGCCTCAAGGGACTGTTCTGGGACCTATACTATTTAATTTATACATTAAGAGCTTAACTCAGATTGATATTCAAGGTAAAGTTTATTTATTTATTCACGGGTAACCCCATTAAAAAAAAAATACAATATTAATTAGAATAAAAACAGCAAAATAAATACTTAACAAAATACTAAACTAATACTAATATAGGTAATATAAAATACTATACAAAATATAACGGCATCAAATAACAATTATAAAATCAGTTAGAAAATGAAGACAAAAAAAAATGTTAGACTTCCATATTATTTAAATAAGTCCTGAGAGCATTGTATCATATGCTGATGATACAGTGCTAGTCTTCAGAGATAAAGATTGGGAAGCCGTCAAGACACTTGCTATAGCTGGAATGGAACATGTCAAAAACTGGCTGGATATTTTTAAATTGTCTTTGAATGTTAACAAAACAAACTACATTGCTTTTTCAAAGACAGTGGCTGATCGATCTCAATTTAAAAGCTTAACATGTCAAAATTTAGACATACAGGAAACAGAAACATTCAAATATTTAGGTATAATTATAGACCAGCACTTAAAATGGGACTGCCATATAATATATATAGCAAAAAAACTTAGATTTCTGATTTATAAATTTTATCTTCTAAAACAATTTCTCAACCAGGATCTACTAATAACATTATACTACAGTCTAGTAGAATCTATACTACCGTATGGAATCTTAGTATGGGGAGGCCTCTATGGAACTACATTAAATCAGTTAAATGTTATTCAAAACAAAATCTTGAAGTTAAAATATAAAAGAGATAGATTGTGTCCCACCATAACTTTAGATAATGAAAAAATTAGCAATGTTAGATGTTTATATATTCACGCAGTGGTGTTATATACAAAAAAATGAATTTTAAAAAAACCCTTTAGAACATAGACATAACACTAGAACTGCATCGAACATGTGCATTAAAGTACCAAATCCAAATAGTGAGTTTTTTAAAAACAGTGTAAATTATCTAGGGACAAAGTTCTATAACGCTCTACCTCTCCATATAAAATTATTAAACAAATATAAAAAATTCTGTAAAGTTAGTAAAATATACATTTTCCAAAATAATGCAAAGTTTATCAGAATATTTCAAGAATAACGGACTTAATACATGGATTTTTTTAAATAGTTTTTCTTCTGTTTCTTGCATAAATTGTTTATTTATAAAAAAAATGTTTTTTTTTTATTTCCTTTATAATTCATTAAATATAATTAAAATAAAATTTTAATTTTGGTCAGCACATACAGGTGTTCTCACATAGGTGCTTGTTATTATATAATTGGTTTCCATTATTGTACTTTATTGTAGCTTATTTATTATTGTAACTCATTGTAACTTATGTTTAAAGGAAATAAAAATTATTTATTTTATTAAATAATTTTACACAATATTGTTTTTAAAATAAATATGTATGTTATGTTGCTAATGATCAGTGTAAAATAGATTTTGATTTTAATTCAGATTTTAATAATAGCTTCGTTCGCGGTAACAATCCTGAACTGATTCAGAACTGCTCATTCATTCTTTGAGTGCATGCCTGATTCATTATCAATTCTGAATTTACACGGCGCACAAACCCTATATCTTGGTGTTTCAGGTATAGACAAGCGGTTCAAAACCAATAATAATTTTACCGCGAACGCAGGATAGAACCAATAGTTGTTCTTTTGTTCCGCGAACGCTTTTTAACTACTGCACCTGCGAAATCGTTACTATTAGTAATAATTCGGCTCAGGATTCTTACCACGAACAAAGCTAATAATAATGTTTATTTAAATAATGATACATCAATATAAATACAATTAAAAATGAGAATAAACAATAGGGGATAATCACAGAAACAGTTTAAAACTGCTTGTACGTGATAAGGTACATATACATAACACATGATTATAGATAGGTACATGAAGCATAAAACGGGTCTGTGTATATGTCCCTATAAAACCCAAGAAAGAACAAAAATGAATTTAAACATAAAAAAAAAACATTTAAACATTTAGAAAAAAACTATTAGACAAATCTTAAAAAATTATAAAATGTAAAATAGATCTATAAATTAGTATACAAATAATAATAAAAATATAAATGGAAATATAGAAATAAATTTTTTTTACATAATTATGATAGTCTTCAATAAATTATTATCATGTATAGTCAAAATAGGAAAAAAATATTTAGACAAATACATTTTTTAAGACTGATTTGACTGATTTTTAACCACACTTACTAATTTACATTCTTTTTGAAGCCAGATTTTTAGTCTATTTTTGTATCTACTGTACAACGGAATGTCCTTTATTTCTTGAGGTACCAAAATAAAGATTCTAGGAGCCAGGTAATCACTACATTTTTGACTGATACTTTTTTCTGATCACAGAAATAAAATAGCTTCAGGTTGACATGTATTGTAAGGATGATCATGAGGTTTTAAGGTAATTTTAGATTTTTTTCAAAAATAATAGAATTTGTAAAAAGTATAACTGTCTCATATCATATAAATTAGAATCATCATAGGGTATAAAATATTTTTTTTGTAAATTATTCTTAAAATCCATTTTTATATTACATGAACATCTTTCAATGTGCTATCATATGCACTTCCCAACCAATGATGCCATATACTAATAAGGATTGTATTAAAGAAAAATAAAGAGACCTCAAACAGTGTATGATTAGAAAGTCACATAGATATCTAAATAAATTTTGGTAAAAACCCTCTTAACCTTTTAGACCTAATAATCACTAATTAAATCTAAATACAGATAGTGAAACATTTTGTTAACTGCAATTAACATATGTTTATTTAATAAAAATAATTTTAATACCTAAAATAATCACATTGGTAGGTACATCTAGATCCCAAGGTCCAGCCAGAATAAATTTTTTGGCTTGTGGGCCAATTTCTTCGGATGCTCTTCTTTTGACTATAGGTACTGCTGTATTAGGAGGCATATGAGGTAAAGGAATAGGTGTTGGTTGTGGAAGAGGAGGGGCGCAAATGCCTAAAGGATCAGTAATAGGATCAAATTGTGGCTTTATTACAGGCATCTCCCACAGACTTTCGCCTGTAAGTTTGTTCCAAAAGTATGGGCGATTTTCCCTTTTTGACCAAAATTTCTTCCATCCTAAAAGAAAATAATACAAGTAGGTCTATTTTAACAGCAAGATTGAAGGATTCCTGAATTGTTTTTGATATTTTATACACCATATTTTTTTAGCGCCAATTTGTTTGGGACACCCTATATAGAATATTATTAAAATTTAAAATACAGTGTTTTTTTAAATACTCATTATTTCATTATTAATACACCTTTATTTCTTAAACATGCAAAATTAAAAATAAACATTACCCTGCTGTTGCAATTCAAACGGCAATTCATACTCAAAGCTTTGGTTTACAGGAGCACCCTGCGGGGTAGTGGGTACTGGCATATTAACATGTGGCTGAGGACTTGAAGAAGCGCTACTCTCTATTGGGGGCCATACAGCCACCGGTTTCTCCTCTTTAGTTTCGGTTTCTTCGTTCATTGTTTATATTTTTATCAAAACTTTAATGATTTTTAGCTTCAACCTGAGTTAGGGTGTTTTGAAGATTCTCTAAATAATTTTTCACTGTGAAACATACCTGTTAATATTTTTTTCACTTTTAATTTTGTTAATTTTAAGTTTACGACGAAATTCAGTCAAGATCTGAAAAAAAACTTGTGCAACCTCACTCTACGACGCCATTTGCTCACTGAGAAAATACAAAAATTCCAAAACAATGAAAGTTGATGGCGCTGACGTTATCATGACAGTTTATAGAACTAATTTTACAGTTTTTTGTATTCGACTGAATAAGCCTTTACTAGTAACAACTAGATGTCGCACTTATATTTGGAAAATTATAAGAGTATAATAAGATTATTCAAACAAAATCTTCTTATAAATACATGAATAAGTTAAGAAAATATGAAAGTATATTTTTATAAGCCTTTGCAAATCAGAAACGATTGTTTTTTTTTACATTATTTACAGGAATCTATAATTCTATAAAAAACCTATTAGGCATTCCAAACAAATGAATTACCAGTGGGCAGGTTTGGTATATCTGAGGGTGGCGACATATGGTGTATTCTATCTACTTTACGTAAAATCATGAATAATGGATTACATTTAAATATTTTATGTCAAACACAATAAAAATAATATTTAAAAAACCCACCTATACATTTTTTTCATAAATTGGCAGGCTTGGCGAGTACTACTTCGAATAAAAATAGTGTTCAAATTGCAAGACTATGTCGCTACCCCCTTAAATATACAAGAATTTCCCACTGGCACCTATTGTTTGACAGGTCGTTGGAATGCCTAATTAGGCATTCCAAACTGAATGGCTACCAGTGGGTTTTGACGAGTTATGATATGGCAAAATTATGGCAACCCTGTAGGCCTGGTGATTTGACAAGGTCAAGGAAATAGATAGTTACATAGATTGATCATCCATATTTTTCAAAATAAACATAAGCTTATACCTTGAAGTAAAAATGTAAGCAATTATTTTTTTTTAAATATCTAAAGGCTAAAAATTGGTTTTAAAACACATTTTTGCTAAACCGATTCAAATTAATACATATTTGCCAGGCAATATGGCCGCTCGTAAACGACCAGCTTTGAGCAATCTATATAACTATATATGTATCATTGACCCTGTTAATGACAGCATGACAACAGGGTTGCCATATCTAAACTGTCATTACCCACTGGTAGCCATTTGGACAGGTCGTTGGAATGCCTAATTAGTTTCTGGGTTGTGTTCGGTAAATGACTCTTGTATATACCTGTATACCACAAACTTTGTAGCAATGAGTTTATTTTTTTGGTCGACAGAACTAGTTTTCGTTTATGTTTTGTGTTTGGTTCAGCTTTTGTTGCTGTTACGCAGCGCAGCTTTAGGAACAGCAGTGTTAATTAGAATTGTGGAATTATTAGAACGTGGGGATACAAATATTTTTCAAATCCCCTTTTGAATCCCGGATTCACTGATCCAAGGTGGTTTGAATATTCGAACGCACCTGTAAAGACTTCTATGACAATTGACGAAAGACAATAAAATAATTTAACCTCTTTTTTCAAAACAAAACATGTTGACCAATATTTTCATTTAATTTTATTATAATAAAATTGTTCATTAAGATTATACTGATATACATAATTTTTACAAGATGGGGAAGAAAAAGAATGGTAAAATAAATTAAATTGTTATAGTTAATCACAATTGTCTTTAATTGTAATTTTGTCTTTCAGCTTTTAATCACCTCACTTTAGAGGAAAGAAAAGTAATAACAGTTGCTGAGGTAGTACAAGAGCTCATTAAGGCTCATCAAGAAAGGAAGGATATTAATTTAAACTCATTAAAAAATAAAATTGCATCTAAATATAATTTGGAAACTGCTCCAAGACTAGTTGATATAATTTCTGCAGTGCCAATAGATTATAAAAAAATTCTTGTACCTAAACTGATGGCAAAACCCATCAGAACTGCTAGTGGTGTAAGCAAATTTTGCTAATGTCTATTTTGAGTCCTTTATTTTACAAATAATGATTTTCATAGATGTGAGAGTAACATTAGGTTGGGTTAGTAGGACCCTGTCACAGCACCTGGAGCTAAACTTGAACATCCCCTAGACTAAATTTTATCCTTCAGAGGCACATGTAAAAAAAGTGCGACTAAGTAATTTTCTATAAATTCTTTGGAAATTCACAAATTATTTTTTCAAAATTAGTCCTACGAAATATTGAAAACTATTTTTGGACTTCTAAAGTGAAAAATGTATTGAAAAATTCACTCTGGAAGGATTCAAACCTTCCACATCAGTGTTCTTACCAACTTTGCCATCAGGACATTTAGATGTCTGATTTATTAATTTTTTCACTTTAGGGGTTATTTCATAAGAGTAATTTCAAAATATTTATTTGTGAATTTTATTTTTTGAATAATAACATAGTTTTTCAGAAATTTAAACTGATTCCATCTATAAAGTAATTTTTATTAATATTTATACATAATACCTATAACAAAAAAAATAGAAAACTTTGATAGGGAACATTCTATCCAGTTCAATGAAACATTTCATTGAATACAGTGCTCAAGAGCTCAAATTAGATATTTGCAAAAAATCTCAACAAATGGATGTTGATTTACTAAAAATAAAGTTCTTCTAGATTGCAGTTGTAGCAGTAATGTGTAAACCTCATCGTTGTCCACATATTAACCTTACTGGAAATATTTGTGTTTATTGTCCAGGAGGTCCTGATTCAGATTTTGAGTACTCCACTCAAAGTTACACTGGATATGAACCTACTTCAATGCGAGCTATCAGAGCTAGATATGACCCCTACCTTCAAACCAGACACAGAGTTGAACAGCTCAAGCAACTTGGGCATTCAGTAGATAAAGTGGAGTTCATAGTGATGGGGGGTACATTCATGAGTTTACCAGATGATTACAGGTATAAATAGTACTGAGACTGAGTAGCTAACTGTATTTTAAATATAGTTAGTTGTGTATATTACTTAGTATTTTTAGTGCATTCTTGTATCTCATTTTTAAGCGTGTCTTATATAATCTTACTTTTTTATTTTATACTTATTATTTGGATTTTTTTTCTATACTGTATATAAAATTTAAGTTTTAAGCAGTAATGCGAAAAGGGCAAACAACTAGACTTAAAAACCTATACTTATATGAAATAATTGTTTTTTGTTCAGTTCCAAATTATTTCCTTAAACTGAAACACCTGTAATTTTATTTTGCTTTTGTAGGGATTATTTTATTAGAAATTTACATGATGCCTTGTCTGGACATAAAAGCAGTTCTGTAGATGAAGCTGTAATATATTCAGAAAGAAGTAACACTAAATGTATTGGGATTACCATAGAAACTAGACCTGATTACTGTTTAGAAAAACACCTGTCAGATATGTTGAAATATGGCTGTACTAGACTAGAAATAGGTAGATAAATATATTAAAAATATTTTTTTTGTTAGTGATTATGATAATTTTGTTTTGTGACCAGAAACTTTTATTATATTCATATTAATTTCTTGTAGATCAAATTTTTTTAGATAAATCTAATTTTATAATAGAAGAAAAATTAAAATACATATTTACATTTTTATACTTTTAGGAGTTCAATCTGTTTATGAAGATGTAGCTCTAGATACAAATAGAGGACACACTGTAAAAGCAGTCTGCGGTACTTTTCATGTAGCAAAAGATGCCGGGTTTAAAGTTGTAGCCCACATGATGCCAGATTTACCAAATGTCGACTTAGAGAGGGATATTGAACAATTTATAGTAAGTTAAAATGAAACTATTAGGATAGAATTAAGTAGCACTTTTTTTTTAATTCAATAACTATGTTCTGTCTGCTTTTAAATATGTGAACTCTGGTATTATATTTGAACACACAATATTTCATGGCCATTTTGGCAAATCAAAACTCACCATATATCACAAATCTTGACAAAAACGGATGGTTGTGCAATGCGGTAAAACTATAATAAAAAGTAATAACAATTTTATTTAGTTACTTAATCCAGCATTGTGATGCAAAGTTATAAAAAAGTATAGGAAGTATAATGAAACTAACATTTTTAATATACAAAATGATCTGATTATGTGCAACTGGAATCTTAATACTATTGATGTTGAAGTAATTTATCATGAGTTATATTCAAATTGTGAAAGAGTTATTAGTAAGGTTGCCCCTATTCGGACATGTAAGTATAACCCTAATGTACCATGGTTTGATAATGAGGTTTACAATAAAATTATAATACGAGATAATGCTTACAAGTCTTTCAAGTCATGTGCAGAACATCAAAAGCTGAATATGTGGAACAAATTTAAAAAATGTAGAAATGATGTACTTAATGTGTTGAAATAAAAAAATCTACTTATTATTTTAATAAAATTGATTGTTTCAAAGAAAATCCTAAAGAGATGTGGAAAACTTAAAAAAAAACTAGTAAATATTAAATCAAATTATGTGACTGATCATGTTCAATTTATGATCAAATAGGCCATAACATCCTTTATGATACTGTTGACATAGCAACTAAACTTAAGGAATATTTTGTTGAAAGTATTATGTATATTATTGGAAGTATTGATGCAACTGTTCCCTGGCATAATCTAAACAATAATTTATACTTACCATTTCACAACTTTAATTTACTAACTTTACATGACTTATATAAAATTTTGAACTCATTAGATAATAAATATTCTGCATTTAATATTCTTAATTCTAAAGTTCTAAAGGACGTGTATGCAACAGTTGGGCACATTATTTTAAACTTAATTAATACCTCACTTGATACTGGCAAAGTTCCATCTCAACTAAAAATTAGTACTATTGTTCCAATTCAAAAAGTTAATATTACAATAAAATCGGAAGAATTTAGGCCTGTAAATACTCTCCCGTCAATTGAAAAGGTATTAGAGCTGGTTGTGTATGAACAACTACTTGAACATGTTAATAATAATCCTATTTTAATAACTAATCAGTCTGGGTTCAGAAAAAAGTATTCCTTCCTGTGAGTCTGAATTACAGTTAATGGTGAGTAAATTTAAAAATGATGTGGATGAGAATAAATATGTAGTAGGTAGTATCTGTTTTTTTAGACCTGAAACGTGCATTTGAGACCATTGATAGGGGTATTTTACCTAAGAAATTTCAACAATATGGTGTAGGTGGCAAAGTATACCAGTGGCTGAATGATTATCTGCAAGGTCATAGACAAACTACATTTTTTCAATCAGATATCACCCGAGATTAACATTGACACAGGGGTTCCGCAAGGAAGTGTCCTAGGGCCGCTGCTTTTTATACTATATTTGAATGATATTGGACTGTTTGTTGATTGTGAATTCATTAATCTCTTTGCTGATGACACTCTGCTAGCATGCTCTGATATAAATTTAATGAGTGCAAATGAATAAAATACTGGAGAAAGTTGCCCAGTATTTTCAACTTAACAAATTGAAATTGAATGTAACTAAAACAAAAACACTTATTTTTACAACTAAACATAAATATAGCTTACTTGATATGAATGATGTTAATTTACAAATAAATGGTAAAAAAATCGTAATAGTCCCAACTATTAAGTATTTAGGTATCCAATAATCTACTGACTTTTAATGATTTCTTTAATTATATTAATAAAAAAAAAATTTGAAAAAATTATATTTCTTCTCTAGAATTTCAAATAACTTCAACTTCAACTAAAATAACAGTATATAATACAATTATTCAGCCTCACTTCGATTATTGTGCCTCCATTCTTCATTTATTTAATCTCAACAAGTTAAATCAACTTCAAAAACTACAAAATCGAGGCATGTGCATAATATTAAAAACTAATCATCTTACACCAATTGCCACAATGTTAAATTCTCAATGGTTTTCGATTTAGCAAAGTTTGTACTACTTGACAATTATGTTTATTTATAAATAATTCATTCTTTGGCTCCATCCTACTTTCATCAATTTATTTGTTATCATGGGGATATTCATGATTACAGCACAATATAAACTAATGATATATACATTAAAAAAGTTAATTATTCGAAATCACATGCATCGTTATTGTATAAAGGTTTCCAAGAATATAATGAACTGCCCAGGGGCTGGAAGGATTGTAATTCATTAGCAAGTTTAAAAAAAAATTGACAACTTTTATTAAAACTGATAAAATTTGATTTTAACTTTTATATGTTTGATTTTTACTTTTTTATTCTTCTTTTTTAATATTTGAGTTCATGCGTTCAACTGCGTTATATGTTTTATTGTTAATTAAGGCTGTTTAAACTCAAGATTAAAAGTAGGTATCTTTGTAATGTGTAACAAATTTATTTTTCTTAACTCAGATTATGTTAATAATAATAATTATCTTTAAGTTTTAAGTGTACTGTATTTGTATTTCCATAATTTTTTTTTTTGTATATTAAGTTTATCCTACTTCAATAAAATATCTATCTATCTAATTTATTTAACTTTCGGTGGAATGTTAATTAAGTTCCTTTACATTTTCTTAATTTCTATTTTAAGATCTGTACTTAGTTCTGTGGCCATTTTAATTTTTCTCTTTCTCTTGCCATCCACAATTTTTTTTTATTGAAGTTCTAGCTACATATTCCAAAACAATAGGACCCAGAATAACTGGAGGTTCTTACGTATAACACATTAAGATTTAACAAACTCACTCAGGTTATAGAGAGATTGGGGGGCGATAACAAACCAAAAAAAAATTGGTCTAGGCGGGGCTCGAACTTACGGCATCTGGTTTACCGCTCCAACGTCCTGACTGCTAAGACCACCAGAGCTTATGTATATAACATCCTAGTGGTTAATTTGAGTATTTAGATTCGATCCCGACCCAGTAGCAGAATCCTTTCTATGAATCATGAAGCATATAGTCTGGAACGTCCAACATATAATTTTTTTTTAAAAAGATTCAAAAATGCGCTTGTTCAGTGTGATGTCATTTTGGTTCCACTGACATTTAATTCTAACCAAACTTTTAACAAAAACATCAATAAATTTGACATATACGTTCTTACTGTTTCTAGTTTATTTCTAAATATTGGTTACAGGTCATAAAAATAGTTGAAAGGTATGTAAATTGGTAACTAAACGATTGTATATTTGATGCATGTTATCTACTTACTTTAGGAATATATTTATACAAGTGAAGAAACGATATAATTTAGGTAAACACAACGAACAAAACGCACTCAAAAAATCTACTGTCACTTTAATTGTCAGTGGAACCATAATTACATCATCACTGAACCAGCGCATACCATTCTAAGTAGCCTACTATATTTGGTGTAACTGGAAATTCATTTTACTTACTTTTTTAACAAATTCAAATGTTTTATGGTAATTGACCAAGATATAGTTTTAGAGGAACTTGAACAAGATCATTGTGGTGACCTTATAGAACTGGACGAATATAATTCGATGGTATCAACTTTAAAAAAATTATTGAATATCATGCATTTTAATATTAGAAGTGCTAACAAAAACTTTAAGAATTCTTAGTACTTGTTGATACATATAATTTACAAATTTATATTTTTGTATCAAGCCAATGTATTCAAACTGCATCCTCAAATAACTCAATATACCTGGTTTTACAACTATCCATAATGGTGGTGATTATAACAGGGAATGATGGGGCCTTGGTTATGATTAAATCTAATTTAAATTATATTTGTAAGGAAAGAAAACTCAAGTCATTTACCTTATAATTTTATTTTTAATTGGCTACTAATTGTAAAGTTATATAGTAGATAACTTTACAATAAGTATCATTTTATTGTCAGCAAACCATTTACTTACATTGTTGATGTCTAGCTGAAGCAAATCAAAATCGGTTTGTATCCTGACAACTTTACAAAGTTTGAAATCATCTTCAAAAAGTAATTCTGTGGAATTAGAGAGGCAGTCTCGCAATATGTTGATAAAACATAAAAAAGTAAAGGCCCTAAATTGCTGCCCTGTGGGGTTTTGATTCACACATGCCTACTTTAACTCATTGGACTCTATTTGAAAGGAACGATTTGATAAAATAAACATTTTCGGTGATACCCAGCTCCACGAGTTTACTGAGTAACAATTAGTGATTAACCCTGTCGAATTCTTTCACAAAATCCGTATAAAATTGATTTTTATTTAATATTACTTCAGCTACACCTTCTGATATTATTGAAAGATTGGTTATGACGGATTTATCTTTTATAAATCCATGTTGAAATTTTTGAGGATTTAGAAAGTTTAACAGATTGTCACATAATATTGTTTCAAACATTTTTCCTAAAGGCATTAATTATGCTAATAGGTCTGTAATGTTTAATGTCTTTTTTATTATTTTGAATTTTACTTTTTCGTCTAATATATTTTAGGAGTTTTTTGAAAATCCAGCATTTAGAGCAGATGGTCTAAAAATTTATCCAACTCTTGTAATAAGAGGCACAGGTTTATATGAATTATGGAAAACTGGTCGTTACAAAAGTTATCCTCCCTCCGTATTGGTAGATTTAATAGCCAAAATATTAGCTTTGGTCCCTCCATGGACAAGAGTATATAGAGTGCAAAGAGACATACCAATGCCTTTGGTCAGGTAAATAGAAAACTTAATTAGGGTTCAATATATTTAATAAATATGTATTTTTTGCAGTTCTGGTGTTGAACATGGCAACCTCCGAGAACTGGCCTTAAACAGAATGAAAGATTTGGGTCTGAAATGTCGTGATGTACGTACCAGAGAAGTCGGTATAACAGAAATACATGAAAAAGTGAGACCAAATGATGTAGAATCTGTGAGAAGGGATTATAAAGCTAACGGTGGTTGGGAAACATTCTTGAGTTATGAAGATCCAGACCAAGATATTTTAGTAGGGTTACTAAGGTATTAAGTAATACCAAAATAAAGAATTTTGATTTTTGATTTAATTACTTTCAGGCTGAGAAAATGCTCCGAATTGACGTATCGTACTGAACTTCTTGGCGGTTGTTCCATAATTCGTGAACTTCATGTTTATGGCAGTGTAGTTCCTGTAAGTGGCAGGGATGATAAAAAATTCCAGCACCAAGGCTTTGGAACCTTGTTGATGAACTGGGCTGAAGATATTGCTATTAAGGAACATGGATCTGTAAAAATGGCTGTTATTTCTGGTAATTCGTTAATTTTATTTCAATTAATATTTATTATAAATCTCTTTATGGAGCAAAATAACGAGAGTCCTGGGCATTTTCTTCTTTATGATTGCAACAAACTATAATGTAAAATTCCTCTGCTGTGTTTGCAATCTAATCTTTGGGGCAACTTTACAGTTAGTAATTTTCCATGCTGCAAGTAAAACTGCGATATTTCCTATTGGGTTTAAGAGAAATTGCTATCTCAGTTTGGTTTGTGTATTTTTTAGTTTTTAATTGCTTGTTTTGGCATCAGTAACTTCGCATAATGAAACAACTTTAGCATCTAAAACTACTCGAATGGAAACGAATTACTATAAAGAACCTTTAAATTAGTATGGCCTTCTATCTTCCTCTTTATTTTGATATTTTTTGTCAACTGCTGCATTTGTTGTGGGTAATCTGTGACGCCACCCTACTCTCTCTGAAGCAACGTCAGGATATCTTTATGTATCTTTACATATAGTGTGCATACTATTCTGATGTTATTGCATTCGACGCCACTCGATACCATTCGACATCTTGTGAATCCAGACTTTCTTGATTTTCATCACGACACATCGCGGTCACACCTCAATAGTGTGCTTGTATCGTACATATAAAGTGGCTGCAAATAGTGACGAAATCATGTTAATTGGGAATGTTTGGAGGCATGAATGTCTGTTTTACCTGAAAAGTAAGCATATAGAGACAAGAATATGAGAGGAGAAGCATGGGAAAAGAAAACAATCTGTAAATATGCACATGTTTCAAATCTATTTTCTTCTTTTTCTTTCTTCTAAAACTAATAAAGTGGCTGTAGATTCCATTTCTTTATCCCACAAATCAGAAGAAATACTACTCTTCATGATTTCTGACCCAATAAAACAATGCTGGCTTAAAATTTTGAAAGTAACCTAACATGGTATTGCGTGGAATGGAAACAGAGTGCACACATAGTGCATCTGACGCATCATGTCAGATGGCGTGGCCCAGTTTAAAAAGAATTTGTCTCTTCCTTAATGTAACGTTAACATATACTCTAAGGATTTTTAAAATGATTGGCACCACTTATTTCAGCCATTTCTTCTCCAGAATTTCAGCTGCGATACGACTTGCCGTAATAAATTTTCAATTTTACTTACCAGCAAGGAAAATTGCGGACTATAAAGGGGCTCTTATACCTACTAACTGGAGTTTTATTCTTTCTAGGCGTTGGTACAAGAAATTATTACAGAAAATTGGGTTATACATTAGAGGGACCTTATATGGTAAAAAGTTTGAAACCTGGAGAGTATATCAGTGCTTTTGATTATGTTGACGGATCGGTATTGAAGTTTGAAAATAATAGAAACGTAATAAAGCAAATTGTTGATGATAATGATGAAAAAGAGGAAGATGAGTGGTTGAAGAAAATGGACGAAGAATATAAAAGAAACGGAAAGGTGGAGTGGTAGCTTTAAGTAAAAAATCACGCATATTTTTTTTGTTGAACAAATAAAAATGATTATTTCAAATTTGTGTATTTATTTTAAAAATCTGAAAATGGATGCAAAAGTGTCTTAAAAATATGACTACGTCGTTTAATTGTCAAGATTAGAAAAACCTGTGGAATTATCGTGCAAAATATGCACAATATGGGGTCCTTACTATTTTATAGGGCCAGTATTGCTATTTCTTGAACGGTAACAGATAGAAAGTCGGTTAAATTAGACAAAAGTTGCGCAGTTTTGTGATCATGAAATTGGTGCCAAGAAACCTTTGGTAACTACAGGGAGATTCAAAATATCGAATAAAAAATGAATGAATTTAAAAGAAATGACAATTTTCATTTTTGTCCGATATTTTTAATCTCCCTGTATATAGAAATCAAAAGTTTCTTTGCACAATTTTAATAAACCCCCGGGATCATTTCCGGGGGAGCCTTGGCCCCCTGCTCCCCCCCGTAGTCGACGTCTATGACTGTAATTACTTAATAGTAAAAAGTTCAAAATATGCAAATGACAACACGGCACAAAAAATGGTGGCCAATATTTGCCCACCGTTTGCATCATTCACAAATGGATCGCTGATTGCAACAAGGGAACATGTTCATAAATGCCAATTTTACAGGAGACAAAACACCGAATTTTGATTGTTAGTATAATATATCTGGACCTTAGAGCCAAACAGTATTAAGTTCACCTTTTTTAATTTTTAGGTTATGGATCCGCCTTGGATGTTTTCAAGGACATAGATAATAAACTCACTAGCCAACAGAAATGTTTCACATGTGATTCGTGGAATATGCATGATCTTCGACAGCCTAATCGGCCGCCTTAATAATAACAGTCTCTATACAATAGTGTATGCAGATGATCTGGTCATTGTGCAAATAGGAAATTTTGAGAACATACTCTGCTAAAGAATGCAAGTAGCTCTCAAAATTATAGAAATTATAGAACTATTCATTGGCTTATGAATCCCAAGAAGACAGAAATGGTCCTTTTCACAAGGAAAATTATGAAAATAGAATTAATTAAAGCGAACATAGAATTAATTAAAGCCTCCAGAACTCCTAAATACAAAACTAAATTTTGCAACAGAGGTGAAGTACCTAGGTATCACCTTTCACAGCAAGTTTCTATAGAACTCACTCTTAGAAAACAAGAGTCAGAAGAGTATACATTGCTTATGAACAATGCCGCCGAACCGGGGGAGCACTTGTGGTTTCTCCACCAGAGTTATTGCATGGATTTACACGGCCATCATAAGACCTATGCTAACATACTGTGATGTTTGTTTACTTTAAAACAACAGTTTATTTATTAATAATTTATTTAAACACCTATTTATTTTATAACACTACTATTTTAATTTATATATATTTCGAATATCTTTGAATCGTTCACTATTTATGTTCACCACTGTCTATCTACTAATTACTATTTATCTTCACTGTTCATATAATAACTGATTGCACTGTGTTCTTCCACCAATATTTATATACAAATTTCTAAAGTTTGGTGGAGTCTAGAAGCTCCTCCACCAAACTAGAAATATTTGGAACAGACCAGAAATATCTCGTCCTTTCTCGAATAGTCATCGAAATCACCTCCGCCATAGTCGTCCCATAGGTTTGGTCTTAAGGGGTTTAATTATGTATAATAATCGGTCAAGTTGAGCCTCAAAGGCCAAATAAGACAGAGAGGGACTTGTAGGGTTAGAGCATGACTGAATAATGAAATGGCTCACATAACAATATCCTCTACGATTGCCCGACGCTCTCATTTATTAGAAGATTTGTGTTCGGCGAGTATCGGCTAACACCGGCCGATATAAGAGAAGCATATGTTGGCGACGTTGTCAACTACATTAAATCTGTAGGCTGGCTCACGAGCTAGGAGGTGCCTATCACCTTAGGAGGCCTAAGTGCCGTGGGGGGTAACCCACCCTTACTCCAACATAATTTTTTTCGCTCTTTCTATTGATGCTAAATATTAAGTAGAAATAATTTGAAAATTCAGAAATATATCTCAATTATTAAGACCATTTCCGAACCCCAAAGGTGAAAACAAATACTTGGAGATTTGAAAAAAGGGCGTGCCGTCTCTGGGATTCGAACCCAGACATCTTTGTTCTATACACAAATGCCCTACCATCACGACATTGACTGTCAAGATTCCTAGACGGCAGTTTGATATACTAATTCGGGCCAAGCACCGATTTGAGAACGAGCCTGTTACAACCGAATTTTGATTTTCGTTCAAGGACGAACTTAATCCAACCCACCTGAGTTCGGTTTATAAAAAATATCCTAAATTAGCTACAGTTGTATTTTTTTGCTGAAAAAAGAAACCATACAAAAGTAAAGGTCCCTTTAATTGTATAGAAGGTGTGAATTATTATAAAATCAAGATACGTCAAAAGCCGTATAGCTGCGATAAATGACAAAAATTTTAAACTTTTTGGACTTGCCCCCGTAACTGTTTGGTGCAAGAAGGATGCAAGTTCGGACCTGTCCCCTCTTCTTTCATAAGAAAAAAATATTTTATTTTTAATATTTTTAAAGTTTTCTCATAACTAAGTTTTTGTACTTTATAATATGTGAAAAGAGTACCATCTTTTTTTAACTTTGGTACAGCTCCATGTTTGTTTTTCCTGGAACTGCCCCCTTCTTGCAATAAGGTCCTCAATAATTATTTTCTAATTGAAATTCTATGGTAACAATTCTATGTGAATTATGTTACCATGTCATAATCTGTCAAAAATGCGACATTGAATTTCATGTTCCACATATTTTAGTGGCTTTACCAAAATTTCTTTAGAATGTCTCAAATAGAAATAAAAGCTTATCAGCTTCGCAATGAAGCCGTCAAGCGTGTAAGTGGCACTAACTTTTTCAAACAGTGGTTTTCTACGGATCATCTAGGAGAATCTGTGGAGTATTTTAAAAGAGCGGGAAACCTATTTAAAATGGCGAAAAATTGGTCTCAAGCTGCAACTGCGTTTTATGATGCGGCTAGTCTAAGTTTCAAACGAAACGATACAAGTGAAGCTGCTTTTGATCTTATAGAAGCTGCGAATTGTTATAAAAATTACGATACGTCAAAAGCCGTAGAGAGTTACCTTAAAGCTATAAATATCTATGAGGAAAATAGTAAGTAATAAATAAACGTTATGATTCTGTGAAATCTTTTTTTCTCTTTTTTAAGGTAAATTAATAACTGCAGCAAAATATTATCAAATCATAGCTGAACTTTTGGAGGATGAGTTTGATACAAAGGAAGCGGTCACCTATTATGCAAAAGCGGCAGAAATATATAGAAAAGAATGCAGTTATTCTGCCGCCAATAAATGTTATGAAAAAATTGCAGAATATGCTGCTTTGTCACAAAATTACGTAAGGGTAGGTATATAATAGTATAAATTGATATAAATTGACATTTAATAATGTAGTATGTATGAATGCCCTTAGCGGAAACACGGAGAGTTTGAAATCGATATTTTGCCTACCTATATAATTTATAATAATTATTTTTTCCTCTAAGGGCGGGTCGTACAATAGGCAGTTAAAATGTAATCTTAGTTTGTGGACCTCGTATAATCATCGTTTATTGTTAAACATAGTTTTAAAATTGATATACGTTGAATATAACTCCTATTAGCTAAACTGGAGTTTACAGCATTCTTTGTACAACTCGCCCTATAAAAGAATTCTTTTCACTATAGGCTGTGAAGATCTTTGAAGAAATTGCTTGTTTAGACTTAGCCAGCTCCATCCTTAAGTACGCTGCCAAACATTACTTCTTCAGAGCTGCCATTTGTCTTCTCTGTGCTGGTTACGATGTTACAGCAAAGTTGAGAACCTACCTTAATATTTACCCGGCGTTTGAAGATACCAGGGAATACCAATTAATTATGTGTTTGCACGAATGTCTACAAGTTGGCGACATCGATGGTTTTGAGAATGCAGTTAAAAAATTTGATTCTGTAACGGAGTTGAGTCAGTGGCATATTACTCTATTGCTCAGAGCGAAAAAACACATTGAAGGGGCATATGTGTTAAATTGACTTTTTAGCATGTTTAGGGTTTTTAATAAAATTATTTATTTACAACAGTATTTTGTTTAAAAATTTTGATCAATGTAAAATTTGATAAAAAATAAAGTAGTACCTAAAAAAAACAGGTATCACAATGAAAAACTTAGGGTGCGTACATGCCGGGATGATCGATAAGCGGTGGTCAAGAACCTAGATATCAAGTTTCAATGTAAACCTATTTTCTTTCAAAATTTCTGTACTGCATTATCTTTTTTTTTAATATATATAAATCCTTTATTTAGTCAAAAACAACTAATACATGGTCAATACACTTTCATACTAAAAATATATGTCTAACTAAAATAAGTTATTAATCTAACTGTAGTTGGAGATAGTCAGGTGCGTGACCTATTTATATTTTAAATATAAACATTAATGCCTGGTAAAGGAACATGTCTTTAATTGAGAGCCAGTTTAAAGATATCCGCATTTCTACAGTAGGCGTAAATCTAGGACATGATAATATTATTCGCATAGCTCTATTCTGCAACTTTTGGAAACGATTGCTTTCATTTTGATTTAAGAGATATAATACTATTGAGTAGTAAATGAAGTGAGGTAGTATTAGAGAATTAAATAAATAAAACCAGCCTTGACCACTTAGATAAATGCTGTGAACATCTGAAAAGATAATTTATTTTAAATGAAATTGTTTTTATTAAATGGTTTGCGTACTGTTTAAATTTAATGTCATGAAATTCCTAAAGCCTACCCTGTGTAAGCGCGACCTTGGAAGTCTGCCACTCGATTCATAATCGAAGCAACGCTGACGTGTGAAGACAGTCGGATCGCGTCTCGAATATACAAGAAACGATGGAATTTTCTAGGTATGCCGCTGACGCTTCGAGAGACTGCCGTTAAGTCATAGAGATGGAATTTTCGGGAGCGCCTGGAAACTACGAGCACAGAATTGAACTTGATATAAATAGCCGACTCATCGGCGCACAGTTTAGTATAGAACATGGTAATGAAAAGTTAAAGTGTAATAAATAAAATAGAATTGTTAGTGTATAAGTATTATATAAATTAAATATAGTACGTCATAAATATTGTAAATAGTGTGTTTTAAATAAATAAAATATATCAAACCCCCTTTGGAGGTTAAATACTGACAGTAAGGGCTCTTTCAGACATAACGGTTTTGTTCGTACGATTTTGTTCCGTACGTGTCTTGGTAGAATTCACACTCGACGGTTTTCTTTTCCGTGAACCGTCTTTAGCTATTGTATTTTATGTCAGTTGGTTATCGACATGAATCGAAAGCGCACCATTGCCATGTGGCTTTTGTACCGTCATATACAAAAGTATCGGAAACGACATAATCGCATATATTAGGTGCACCCAATTAATCTGAAAAGAGATGAAGTGGGCCCATTCATTTGCTTAATGGAAGATTTACGTGCAGACGAAAATACAATTTTTAATTATCTTCGGATGTCCATTGTATCCTCTGATGAATGAGCTTCATAACCGACTAAAAAATAATATTCAGCGGCATGATACTAAAATGAGAAACTGCATTGAACCTAAGGAAATAATAGTTGTAATTAACACTAACGTAAAAGAATTCTATGTTTGTTTCGTTACTAGTTTATTAACTACAAAATCAAAAAACAAAAAAAATTTAATATGTCAAACTACTAGTTTATAATATTGTCATTCATGGTCATATTGACGTGTAAACCAAAATACAAAATATTTATGATAAATAAAAACCAAACGGCACGCAATAACGGACAGCAGACGGCTAAAAATCGTCATATATGAATGCCTGCATAAAGTTACATAGGCCACTGATAGACGGCGACGGTACGGTACAATTCAGTCTTTGACACGGCTGTTTTCAAATCGACCGTACGGAAAAAATCCGTATCCGTCCAGTATAAAAGCTGCAGTTAATTTTATTAGTTTACTATCAACGACGCACGGAAAAAATCCGTACGAATTTTTTCCGTACGGAGGAAATCGTTGTGTCTGAAAGAGCCCTAACGTATTTGTTATTAAGACCTTTCAAATCATCCAGCACACATTGTACCCGACTGGACTTTGGTTTATCCTGATTTATGGTCCTCGGAACACTTTTTGTTTTCGAATTCACTAGGAAATATAATATAGATGTGATCTTTACGCAGATTATTGGGATAAGGAAATCAGTGGAGAAGAGAATGTAGTGAGTGGTTCCAGCTTTCAACTATGTAGTGTATATATAGGGGTACGACAAGATCTTATTTACGCAACGAGACAGAAATATAATTTTGTCTATACTGTGAATGCAGGACCCGGGTAATCAAGGGTTAAAATAAAATCCTACTAAGGTATCAAAGCACATTTATAGTCGTCTCAATCTCCCCGATAAGGTTACAAAAATTCAATCAGCATAGTTTTTCTAACGAATGCGCCACTCTGTAAAACAATATTGGAAATAAAATAGTTAATAATCTAAAATTATTCGTCAACTCGAAAAAAATATAATTACCGTTTAATATTTTCAAATCTAAATCAAATGGGATCAAAAAACAAATACTATATTGTAAATAATTGTTTTATTTTTCAATTACACCTTAAACAGCTGTTATTCTAATACATAAAAATAGATTTAAATAATAATACAGTCAAGTCAAATCGAATGATACAAGGTTTCTCTAAACTACCTTTGAATGGACATTTTTCCAAAATGTCATGGATAACACTAATTTCATATTATTTGTCTGTAGGTGAGCGGTTTATCCCTATTTTCAATTCACTAACTTGATCAACGTTCTAATGGCTGAAATAATTTTTATTCTATATCACTATCTTTTTTTCTATTTTAAAAGCACTTTGTTTTTATACGACCGTTTGAAATTTTCATTCTTGATAACTTGATAAAATACAAGCTTGAAACTTTGTGTGCAGCATATTATGATGTAATAGATAACGTCGAAGAGTAATTGTCAAAAATGAAAGCAGATGTGAAAATGCTGGCCGAAAGAGTGATTATTGCTTCTCGATTGTTAACTATATTACGTTACTTCATATACGTTACCAAAATAATAGACAGTGGGAAAATTTGAGAATGTATAACAGAGTTGCCATATATTGAAAGAAGAATTTTTTCTTTATAACAGTTATGTAAATAAAATGTTGTTTAACATTGTATCATATTTAAGATTAGTCTCAGAGGTAAATTATGATATTTAAAGTTTTCCAAGCAACATTGTTTTCCTGTTTTTAAAAATAAAGGTTACCGTTGAGCCAAATTTATATTTTATTTTGAACACACTATGTTTATACAGTATAAAAAAACTTCTCTTACTTGTTACTTTTGCTCAATTAAAGTAGATATTTCAAATTATTTTCGATTTTAGGTCATAGAAAATGTTATTATTCATTTATTCGTGATATCACGATTTATTTCCTAGTTGGTTGTCATTGTGCGTTTACGGGTAGTATTGTAAATTAGCTGTGTCTATTTCTTTTTGTTATTGAAATATTTTACTGTAAACAATCGCATTATACAGTGTGAAATAAATATGAAGAAATTTCAAGTAAGTAAAATTTATTATTTGAAAGTGAACATGAATGAAATTAAATTTATACAACATAAGGGCAGCTTTAGGCCGAATTTTCGGAGAGGGCCACTGCCATTAGCCATATCTATTTTAGCTAATTGATTTTGTGCGACTTGGCAAGTGTCAGATGTAAAAGTAGCATCTCTGAGAATTCATTCGAGATAATTTATAAAATATTTAAAAAATTTAATGTCGTTATTATTAATTTGCATAAGATATTCGTATGCTTAGATTTTTCATAAGCGAAAAGACCTCAAACTAGATAATGACCCATATTGTTATTTTTTTTTAATTGCCTATATTTCATTTCATTCATGTTCAATTTCAAATAATAAATTTCACTTACTTTAATTATCTTTAAATTTATTTCACTTACAGTATTATAAACAACTAATTTACAATACTACCCATAAAAGAACAATGACAACCAACAATAATCACAATCGTTTAGGAAATAATAAACAAAGAATGAATCACAATGTGACGAATAATATAATTTTCTGTCATCTAAAAACCATCAGCAAATATGGGCAAACATTTCAGTTCGACGCTCAAGGTCGCCCAGTTATAGACAAGTGATTTTCGACGGTATCCAAATTCACTAGCGCCATCTGTTAGCTGTATCAATTTCGTAGCTCATTATACAAAACCATATGATTCCGTGGAGCACAGTCTACAAAACGGTGTGTCAGTAATTTTTTTAAGCGAGCTTAGGGGATAAACCGCTCGCCCTTTGATAGTAGCGAGAAAGTGAATTCAAAAGACATCTCAATTTTTGCAAAAATACGTCTATATATAAGATTAAGATTGCTAAAAGCATTACTGAGGATTAGGTTGTGGAGGATAATTGTAAGCATATCCACCTTGTGGAGGACCAGGTGGCGCTGGTGGTCCAGGAGGACCAGGCGGTCCTTGAGCCGGAGGCGGTCTGAAAAGTGGTATAAAAATATTGAGGTAAAATACAAATATTAAGAGATTAGGTATAGGGTAGGACAACCATTTGGGGTTATTTAATATAGATTTTAAAGACCAAATATCAATTTTCTCATAAAAATAATTATATTTAAATTGAAAGCACTCCACTGACCAATAAATACTTTTTTTGTATCATCATTATACACAGCCTTTGAATTTAAATCAATATCTCTAGTATAAACATCATTTATAATTTAAGAAACGGTTCTATCATCTGTATTCACAAAGTCTTTTTTAATATGAATATTTACCTATAATGTAAATCCATATTGCTGTTCCTACCCTATCATAACTAATTTAAGAAAATGGTAGTAAGTGGCAACATGAATTTAACACCTAAAAGTACTATTTTAGAGTATCTTTATTTACAGCTTAAGAGAACGATCATTTCAGGAACCTGAAATAGAAGGAATGGCCAGTCTTGGCTCCCTATAATTGATTGGATATTTTTTTTTTGTCAAAATAATTTATACCAAAACTAAATTTATTTAAAGGACTGCAATACCAAGTAGTAGGCAATGTATATAAGGGTATTTGTATCTGTAACGTGTGGATGGTGGCACTTAGGCCCATTGTGTATCCTCCTAAGATACAAGGCACCTCCTAGCTCGTGAGCCAGTCTACAGTCTTAATGTAGTTGACAACGTCGCCAAGAGGTGCTTCTCTTATATCGGCCGGTGTTAGCCGATACTCGCCGAACACAAATCTTCTAATAAATGAGAGCGTCGGGCAATCGTAAAGGATATGCTCGATGGTCTCATCTTCTTGTTCGCACCCTCTGCAGAGTACGGATTCTGACAGCCCCATGATATGGAGATGCTTCCGTACTTGGCAATGACCAGTCAGAATGCCTGTGACCAGACGCACATTCTGTCTAGTCATAGTCAAGTATTTGTTTGCTGCAGTGTTGTCAGGATAACTTAATAGCTCTCTGGCAACTCTGCAGTTTCTTCTTTCATCCCATCTTTCCTTAAATTTCACAAGGGAATGTTCTTTAATTAGGTCTGTCACTACCGATTTTGTCAGGCCAATAGAAGGGCCAGGTCCAAAGAGTATTTGGTTGGCTGCTTTCTTGGCTAGTGAATCGGCAAGACGGTTACCTTTCGATGTGGCGTGACCTTTGATCCATCTTAAGGTGACCACATTGTTGATGGATACTTCGGCCAAAGCTTCGTAACATTCTAGTACTACCCCTGAATAAATTCGTGGTCTGTTCAGGGTTAGTAGTGCTTGTCTGCTATCTGTATAGATGAGCATGTTCCGTCCAGTGATATTATTTCTGGTTATTTTTCTTGCTGCTATGAGAATCCCCGTTAGCTCTGTTTGAACTACACTGGCACTATTGTACACAGTTCATTTTATGTTTAGGTTTAAGAATCTGGAGTATATTCCGCATCCTGAACCTTGTTTTGTTTTAGAACCGTCGGTGTAGATATGAATCGTACCTGCCACTTCTGGCTCTTCTATTTGTAGGGTAGAAAGCTCTAACTTAATAAATATTTAAATTTATAATGTATATATTACTATTTTATATTTAAAAAATATATTGAGTACTATTCAACCTAATTTATACCGTTCAACATATTTGTTAAAAAATGAAATTGAACTCAATTTTGTGATAGTATATTATGCAACGATCATGTAATGATGGTTATTAATACACGAGCATTAACCAGGATACGGAACTCGCCTTCGGCTCGTTTCGTATGGTTTATGCGAGTGTAATAATAACCATTACATGAGAGTTTTTCTACACCCGATAAATAATCAAGAACTATAAATATTATATTTATATTTGTATTGAACACAATAACAGTAATTACTCGTATTTCTATAAAAAATTCTACAAAATTTTAATTAATGGTATTACCTCGGGTATTGGTATTACCATAGATTTTTGGGGCAAAATATTTTGTACAGCATTTTCTGCTTTCTCCGATATGTGTGGAGGAGTCTTCTATATCGCTGATAACAGACATTTTGATAATATAATTATCGAAGTTTACCTATCTACGAAAATTTAATACTTACTGATTTTGACAACTAAAACAATTACATAGGAACCTAGGACAAACATCAAATGTACAGCATGCTTGATTGAAAAATTATGGGTTTCTATTGATTAAAAACTATATCGTTATGAAAAATCTGTATCATAATGGGTATCATTATGAAACGGATTATGGGCATATAAGTGCATTATTACAATACGGGTATAGAAAAAACATTTCATTACCCTGACATATTTTTATATTATTAATAAAAAATAAATTATTTAGTTTATTATTAACGATCATAAAAAAGGGGACGGCACCTGCCCCTTTCGGCCCCAATAATCCTAGCTCCACCACTGAATGGACAACCAATACCTAAGACATGCTATTTACACACAAGTAAAAAAAACATGCACCAATTACTACCAGTTAACCTAAACAGAGTGACCACAGTATATATTTCTCCTCGCTGTCATCTCATTTACGGACTAAACTTTAAAGTTCAATGAGAGATTTGGTGCATTTTTTTAATGTATGTATCTTTTAAATTATGATTATTATAGGTTTTTATCATGTCCTAGCCAATTATCTAAGAGTGCTCGCATACAGCAGCGTCACCAAGCAAATTTGAAATTGTATTGAACATGGATGATTGCGAACGATCAGTAAATATATGTGAAATGTTTAGGGATAAAATTTGAAAAAAACAATCTCGCGGAAAATAATCTGCATACGCCTCCTTCGTGTAGGAAGCCCCGAAAGCAGGGGCGGTTTCTCAAATGGTTCATTTGTGCAGTTAAATTTCATAAGAGCACATTATTTTAAAATCCCATATAAATAACTTAATAATATAAATTCACTTTAATATATTTATTATTTTCGTACGTATTAATCTCTACTTTTTTTGGTACCCCATTGGGCTCAGGCCGATCGCGTCTGTCGGTTCAATATGTCTAGTGAACGCGGGAGGAGTCTGAGAATGAATGTTGAAAAGACAGGTTAATAGATCTGTGAAACAGCAGTGTGCCTTGCAAGCACCAATGCGCTAGTTCAGTGTGATGTCATTTTGGTTCCACTGACAATTAATTCTAACCAAAATTTTAACAAAATCAATAAATTTGACATATACGTTTTTGTTATTTTATTTCAAAATATTGTTTACAGGTCATAAAAAATAGTTTAAAGGTATGTAATTGGTAACTAAACGATTTTATATTTGATACATGCTATCTACTTACTTTAGGAATATATTTATAAAAGTGAAAAAAACGATATAATTTAGGTAAACAAAACGAACAAAACGCACTCAAAAAATCTACTGTGACTTCAATTGTCAGTGGAACCATAATTACATCATCACTGAACTAGCGCATTTCAATAAAGGAGAATCCAAAATAATAATAAACATTAATGTCCATTTCGTGAGTATTCATCTCGTATATACCTACTATAATCACACCATTCTGACGAACTGTTGTTCAGACATATTCATTAGAACCACAATTTGCAGAATACGCATCAACTATATAACCGTAGCCTAAGACAAGTTTTGTATTGCAGCTGTAGGAAAAAAAAACAGCTCCCTTGGCTAACGAGCAAAACTGAAACCAGGTGGGAGGTACCACCTGTCAAGGCCGGAAAATTCGGTTATTTCCGAAGCTTTGACGCTGTAGCGCATGAACAGTTCATTTGTGCAAACATTTATTATTTTTGTACATAGACTTTGTTGTAGAAAAACATATTTAAAAAAAAAGAACAAAAAAATTTTTGTAACTGTTTCCTCAAAAAACAGTATATAAACTATTAAATCTCTTCCCCGTTTTTCCAAGGTCACTTGTGATATGCGTCACCACATGATTGGATTATCAAACCAATTGATGTTTCTGTCTTTCAATTTTCCAAACCTTTACAAATAAAAATTCAAACATTTTCCATTAAACCCTTAAATTAACTTAAGGAGGTCCTTTCGCCACACCTCTCGCCTCAAATGTTAAAAAAAAGTTATTAGATTTGACTAAAATTAATTTTTTTCTAATAGTTGAAGTCCTTATTTATCTAATACTGAACTTTTAACTATACCTTACCTTGCAAATTTTTGAGATTTTTTTTTTTTAAAATGTGAGTATTTGTACAGTGCCTCACGAGAAAGTAAGTCCTCAACAACAATTCTCGAATTATACTATTATTTATTGATTAGATGGAGTAGAAAAAAACTAAAAATAAGGTTTTTGAAATATTTAGATTTTGTTTTATACAATAAAATATATATAGTAAACCGTGGAACTTATTGAGAAATTAATATTAAAAAATCACAAAAAATGTTACCTAGTTGAAAATTTTTTAATAATAATTTCTCAATAAATTCCACGGTAACCTATATATTTTATTGTAAAAAACAAAACCTAAATATTTCAAAAACCTTAATTTTAGTTTTTTTCTACTCCATCTAATCAATAAATAATAGTAAAATTAATTATAATTCGAAAATTGTTGTTGAAGTCTTACTTTCTCATAAGACACTGTACAAACACACACATTTAAAAAAAAAATTCTCAAAAATTTGCACGGTAAGGTATAGTTAAAAGTTCACTATTAGACAAATAAGGACATCTACTATTAGAAAAAAATTAATTTTAGTCATAATCTAATATTTTTTATTTAACATTGGTGGCGAAAGGACCTCCTTAAGTTTTGGGAAACCGGATCGAAGAAGCTGTCATATATTTTTATTACGAAAGTAATTGAATTGGTGAGTTCGAAAACCGTACATGCCAAATCAGCCTTCCGAGAAACGCAACAAACACCTTTTAATGAGTCACGAATTTGTACGTTTTTCGGCTAATTTCACGGGTGTAATCAGCTGTAGTACGTTAACGGATAGGTATCTAGTACGGTTTTTAAGCTCAATCGATGAAGAGACAAATTTTAAACAAAATGGGTATCTTACTTTAAAATGTAAATTTTTTGACTAGTACGGTTTTCGAACTTACTGATTCAATTAAAGATCACTATAGTTACATTTTAGGTAGCTTTTCTTGCTGCAGAGTTAAATAATAAGATGCATATCACATAGTAGTTTTTACGAGTACAGGACTTGGTGCATCTCCATACCTTTACATTTTACTTATTTCCAAGACTGTAATGGACTGCTTACCAGAAAAGATGCCGAGTTTCTTCCTCGTTGTTGTATAAATGAAAAGCCGGCCACGACACTTTTTATTAGAAATTCTTGAACTGTTATATCACAAAATGAAATATACAATATTTACATACTGATCCTGCACTACTGTAGAAAATTTATCACATTTGTGCCAACATTTCAGTGTTTTTTAGGAAATCATTTGAGAAATGTAAGATGGCGGTATGACGCCTCAGTGACTGGACGAAAGGCCGATGACGACGGAGCAATGTGGTTTATGTGAGAGGTACTGAAGCTCTAATGCTCTTTAGCTGAAATAAGCGGGTTCAGATAACGTCGCTTGCATTAACATGTCTTACCCAATTGTTCTAAAAATAAGTGTTGACACGACTTGTGACACCAAATGCTGTTACGAGGATTGCATATAATGGCTTCGAGAATTCAAACGTACTTACGGATTGGTTTTTAAGATTTTTGTGCCCAGATAATTGTTAAAATTAAATATTGATGTTCTATGTTTTAATATGTTAAATGCTTTAACAGTAGCGTTTATAAAATGTAAACATTTGATATTTTTTACACAAAGTATATCGCACCATCAATACATAACCAACGCAACTCGAATAATCGCAATTTTGAGTTAAGACAGGACACGAAATAGATATAAAAATATACAAAATTCAAACACAACCACATAGTCTATTTTATTTAAAATGTTAGCTATAGAAAATTATGTTCATTTGATCCTTTATGGTTCAATTAATATTTAATGGCGATTTTCTGAAACGTCACTTTCCTAGTTGTGTTAGTATTGCATTGATGGTGCGATATATCTTAAGACACCTATGGGTACAACAGGATCTGCAATTAAACTAAATTTGTTCATGCACTACAAAAAAAAAATACAAACATTTCAAATTAAAAACATTTAATCAGGTTTCAAAAAATTAAAACATTAGTGGAGAATAATTAAGAGGGTAAATCATTAAAAAATCGATTTCAAGTCATGCATGTCCACCTACACTAACTCACCGATAATACTGTTGTTGTGGTTGAGCGTATTGCTGAGGTGGGTAAGCAGCAGTCTGTGGCTGGTATCCATAGCTACCGGGAGTTCCACCTTGGTTTCCAGCTTGATAGGCTTGAGCAGAGCTGAAGCCAGTATTTGAGCCTGTAGAATTAGGTGGGTACTGACCTGTGGAATCAACATTAATTGTTTCAACAAATAAATATCAATCTAATTATTTGTAATTATATGGAAAAAAAAATTCTTGAATCATGAAAACATTTTTTTCATCCATTCTCAATAATACATGTCATTTTGATTCGGCCAATGATTTCCTTCTTATTTTTCCAAATAGAGGCTGATTTAAAGGGTAAGTGGAAAAAACAAACTGTCAAAAAACTGACTTACTGAGAAAATTGAATTTATAATATTATTACTAAATCTTCTGTTGGTCATAGAAAAAAATAAAACTGCATGTTAATATTTTTAACGAAATTTGTTACTGTATAGTTTAACTTTTTGCAAAATAATTTAAACGGAAGATTATTATATTCCGGTTAAAACAAATAAACGTATCAAATAACTTGTTAAAAAGAAATTATTTCCATTTTAAAACGAACTTAAAATAAAGAGACTTCCACTGGTATAACAATGTTTCATAAAATTCGTTATTATTTGGGTGACAAAAACGTTTTAGCACTAGCAAATCGTTGTATTTAGCCTGGACAATGTTATGTTTATTTTTAAATGTCTTATTATTCAGACCTCGTCTGTTTTATTCGCTTACAATTTAGCATGTGTTTGGGACTCGATATCACCAACATAACAAGTTGATTACTTAAAAGTTCCTATAAAATGGACATCGTTAGTTTTTTCCCTTACCCTTCAAAGCGTTTTTTATATATATCGAAAATTTCACAAGGTTTGACCCTCTTTAGGACCGTTATACTAAATTTTAGTTTAAATTACAACTAGAACTTTTTTGTCGATAATCTTAAGCTGAACAACTTTTATTTAAAACTTTTTTGGATAAAATGTATAATTTCTGGAAAAAAAAAATTAAAAACTAAAAAATGAATTTTTAGTTTTTTTTTTTGACCCAAACCATAATAAAGCTACCAATTTTGATTTCCGGTTCATCATATTCATAATCTACTCAAAATGTGCAAAAAAAATGACACCCTACATTACCACCCATTTTCAACATAGAAATGTGTGTTCATATATGAGACCAATATGAGTTTCTGATTGAGGTTAAAAGATGGGGGCAATACATATAAGTAGGTGGAGAGTGTTCAGAATATTTCCAACAATTCAAATGAATAACATCCATTTTTGTTTTTGGGGACACTTACTAATCAGGATATCATAATAATAAAATGTGGGAAATATAATAAAGGTTACATTCAGACTCACCTTGGGGATAAGCTTGCGATGTTGGAACGGGAGCTGCCGATGTTGGTGTAGGACTATGGGCAGTCGCTGGCTGATTTTGATAATTCTGGCTAGCATTTTGTGGTTGTGGTGTAGCACCATATCCTTGGGCGTACGTATACTGATATTGACCGGTGCCATACTGGCCCTGTGGGCTTTGGCCACTTGCAGGAGGAGGATAATTCGCTTGAGGAGGGTTTTGAGATGGTTGTTGCTGTTGTTGTTGCGGCTGCTGTGGCTGTTGTTGCTGGGGCTGCTGCTGCTGTGGTTGTTGTTGTTGCTGCTGCTGTTGTTGTTGCTGCTGCTGTTGTTGTTGATACCCTGCAGTTTAATGTTAATTATTAGAATGTACCAAATTATCAAATGCCCAAATGTTTTAACAAACTGTAGTAATTGTCTTGATTTATCAAAATATCGTATTGAAACATTTAGATTGCTCTAATATGAAGAAACTAGTGATGTTGCATTTATTTCACTATAATCTCGACTATAATGCAGGGATGTGCCTAATGGAAAAAGGGTCCCACCCTTTTACATTGATCAGATTTTAGTCAAATTTAAGTATGTTATTATTCAGGTAATTAATTAAGATTCTTGTGGAGTCCAAGTTGGCAGAGCTCTTCAGGGTAAGCTATTAGAAGGAGTCAAACGTAAGGAATGCAGAATATTTTCATATTTATTACTATCACTCACAAGTTCTTGATTTTTTTCCCTGAAACTTATAAAAATATTTTGACAAAATCCTCGGACATGTCAATTTTTATTTTCTATTAACCATCGAAACAATATATTTTAACCTAAAAGAAACTGCATCACATGCAAATAAAACACGTCAAAAAATTTATTGTGAAACTATTTGTTAAGAAGGATGCTAGCCACAACTGTGGCATCAAAAATATACATTTCACTTTCCTTGCAAATCAGAAATTCGAAACAATGAAATTTTTTCAAAAGAATGTAAAAAGGTTATTGGAAATAATTTTGATTTGTGCAAGTCAATGTGGAAACTGACTGTTTTGTTTTCTGTTCTTTCCCTTTCATATAACTATTTGTATTTGATTTAAGCATTTTAAAGTCAATTTAGAGGAAAAGTAGAGTTGGATGATGGTGTGATCTTTCAATTACACTTTGAATAGTTGCTGTGATTAAAAAAATTTAAATAATAATAATAATAATAGTATAATATCTTTATTTTTATATGAATAATACATAAAAAAAACAAGTCAAGGTATAATAAATGAGGTTATATTTTCTCAAGTCATTAACACCTTAAATAGTCATTAATATATTTTGGAAAACTTTTAAGAAATCGATAGAAAAACATATAAAGAATGTCAGATCAAGATTAAAATAATTGATTAATATACAGTTAAGTACCTCCACCAAATATGAGCCCCATATATAAGGCCGCCCGTGTAGGATAAAGGATCAGATTAGTAAAAAAAAATTCATCAGAAATTCTCGAGTGCGTCAGATTAAGGTAGGGTGAGTAAATTACATGCTAAAAAGTGTATATTCCACTAATCTGACAATTTGAGAGTGACGTAAAGAAAAGGAAGGGCAGCAAAGTTGTAAAAAAAAAAACGTCATCTCGACATTCTTGAGCGTGGCTATTTTTTTTTTATTTTGAAGGAAATAATTCAAGGATAACGAAAAATATATAATGTGACGATTTCCGCAAGCCGAAATAACAAAAAATCGTAATGGAATGCAATTTAAATTCAGACAGGTTTCACCAGCCATTAAAAAAATACGGTGCTGACTTTAGCAAACCTTAAGAAAAAAAAAAAAAACTGAAAATTGGTGGAATGCAGCGGGATTTATTCGGTCGGTTATTAGCTCTATCTCTTGACACGAGTATAGACTTGGAGAAAGTACTTTGTTTTCCCATAACTCCTATGCCGTTATCACTGTGCATTATAGATGGTTCTTTAAACAAGACTGATAAAAATTGACCTTGTAATTGTAGATGGCTTCTTTTTTTTAAATACTTTTAAAGAAATACCCCGTAGTTTTGGAGGCGTGTCAAAAAAAGATATTACAATGCCTTGTCAATAACGCTGCAAGTAGAGTTGCCATTGTATTTGATCGCTACTTCACACCCTCTATAAAAGATTATGAGCATTCTCTTCGAGGTAGTGTAGACGACAAGGAATTCCACATTTCCGGTCCTCAACAAACAAGATCAGCAGATTTTACGAAAGATTTGAAAAATTTAAAGTTTAAGGAAGCTATTGTCAAGTTTTTGATCGATCATTGGGCTGATCAGGAGATGGCAGCGAATATCGGTAGTAAGGTAATTTACATAATACATGATTTGTGTTATGAATATTCTGTTACTGATAATAAAGTAATACGCATCATTAATAATTAGTTGTCATGCCCTGATCACGAAGAAGCGGATACGAAGATAGCATTTCTTGCTTGCCAACAAAATAAAGATTCTACTATTATTATCAGAACTTTTGATACTGACATAGTGGTCATCATGTTAGCGAATATGGAACACCTGCAAGCAAGAGTAGAAGTTTGGATGGATCTTGGAGTTGGCAATGCACGCTCTCTACTAAAAATAAGGCCCAAAAATTTCGAAGGCGCTTCCAGCTTTGCATGCGTTCACTGGTTGCGATTTCAACCCAGCATTGTCCCGACGAGGGAAAAAGAAACCTTTGCAATTTCTGATGAATTCAGAAATTTTCCAAGAAGCATTTCTGGATTTGGGATCAAATGTGCAGGATTCTTTTAACATCATACACTTGTAAGGGTTGAAAAAGTTAGACGATGTCAATCAAGCCAGGATTGTCATCTTCAATAAGAAGATATAAGGTAAAAGACAAATCACAGCCCTTCTCCTTGAGTGTGAATCCGAGTTACTCCCGCAAGTGTTACACACAAGATTCATTGCATGCTTGTGGAGTATTGCCCATAATGCAATAATTATTGATCTTTTACCAACTGACTATGGATGGATGTCGACTGAAAATTCAAAATGATCTGGTTTGCAGGTGATCAATTGCCGAAAGCGTACGAAGATGTAGTCATAACACCTGATATTCTTGAGGATACTCCAGAATCAAGTATTTCTTTTCTCCAATAATTAAAAAAACACGTTATTCATAAAAAAAATATTGTTAAATATTTTAATGATTTTTTGTTACAGATACGCAATCTGAGGATGAAATCGAGCCAGATGAGGAAGATGATTCTACTAATGAAGATGATGATTAATTCATCAATTAATTTTTTTGAGCATTTTTTTTTAATTATTTTCTTATAAATACAAGTAGTATTCTACTTAAAAAACATACACTTTTTTATTTGCACGCTATTTCCTGAGATTTTCAATTAAGTTCAATGATTTTAAAAAACATTTATTTTTTTTGTCAGATTATGGGAATCCTCTAGGTCTAGATCAGTCATACTCAAACTTTTTTCCTTCGGGCCACATTCGTACGTTTGATATGTTACACGGGCCGCAATATTTTTGGATGACTTTTTTAGGCCATTCACTTAAAATTAGTAGTGGTGACCTCTAATAAAAAAACAATAAACAATATATCCCGTCGGGTTACTGCAAGAACAAGATAACTCACATTTTAGAGATTCGAGAAAACACTTCAAAAGTTTGTAATTTAACAAAAAATCATACATACAGGTCATAATATTCAATGTATGCGTCACTATCTTTAATGGAAGATTCAGGTACGGTACGTAAAATTATTGGATACAGGTAGATTGTGATAATATTGGTGATATTCATCAGGTGTAGCACCTGATTTGCAAAGTTTAAGTTAATATTTCTTCTTGCACTTTTTTGTAAGTGTTCAGAGCTTTTTTATCCTTTCATCCCTTTGCACCCTACCACAAGGAGCTCGGTACAGCTTACAGAGGCCGTAGCTAGTTCCCTATAATAGACAATTTGTTTTAGTTTTTCCTTAGGTTTATTTAAAAATGAATTCAACAAGGTTATTAAATAAAAATCAAAAAATAATGCTTCATTTTTTTTAATCATGTTTTTCTTAGTATTTTTGTTGGGCCGCTTTTTGTTTTTCTTCTTCTGGTCCACTTTCGTTTCCCTAGTTTTCTCGCCCCCTCTTAAGGAAATCAAAAACGAAAGCCGCCTTCCCAATACCATCGAACTTTTAGGTTCCATGACATTGGCAAGAAACATACTGTGAGAAATGTGTCGCTCTGAAAAATTATGAAGTGCCATCTTCACAACAAAATAAAATGTTATTGACGAAATGCAAGCTCGTCAAAACATGGACTATCTGATGTCAAAGTCATACCCGAGAATAACCAAACGCCGAGAAACGACAAAGACCCTTTCCCGCCGGGTGGGTTTTCGAAGGTGCATGATCGAAAATATGGTGTCTATTTGCATGTGGCCAACTAGATCAACGCGACACCGTATCGAAGGTGTCCTGTGCTTTTAATCCGAGCGCAAAAACTGTAGTTTCGACTATTTTGAATTATTTCTTTCAGTTATTACTGTGTGATTTTTATTGTGTTTTCTGGATAATTTCGTAACAAAATGGTTGGATCTTAGGGTGTAGTTCATGAATGTGATTCCAAAAATGGCAGCGGAATGAGTCTTTTTGCAGTCAAAGGCATATAATTTTAAATGCAAAATAAAAAATGTACTCCCTTACTAAAAACATATTTAGAGTTGAGCAGTGTAAATTACAAATTTCCGCGCGATCGCGTGACTGCGAGCCAATTCAGCTTGCGTGCAGTGTAATTATGGTGTCTTCAAGGTCACCGCAAATCGATCCCACAAACATCAAACGTTCCGACAAAGCTGTCGCTTCTCGGCGTTTTGTTATTCTCGGGTCATACCAAGCTCGTAAAAAAAAAAAATTATCGGACGTCAAGGTGATTTAAAAGATAGTATGTAGGGCACGAGGTGCTACCGCTACACAGCTTGACCAATCACTCGTTACAGCTTGTCCAATTACTCGTTCACCACAGCTATTCAAGCATCACGTGTTATTATCTATCGGTTTTCGAAGGTAAGCTGAATCGCAGAAAGAAAGGGTGACGTAATCACATTGTCGAGAAAAGCCAGAGACGGCTCTAGGCAAAACATTACACAATTGTTTAACCATTTCAATAAATACGCATAAATTCAACAAAAATAAGTATTCGGGTCTTTATCTTGTTTGGCACAAACACTATTAGGAATCGGACTAAATACATTTAGCAAAAATATGTTATGTCTCTTATCTGGTTTTAGTAGATACAATGTTAGCAATGTTATGATTATGTTTCGGTATAAATGCCACTCATCTTGTTTGTGCACATATTGTGAATGTATTAATATGGAGTTAGTTTTAATTGACCATCTGTTTATCATGAATATAGACTTCCTTCACACTTGTCTTATTTATGCCGTGGATTATTTGAACTATTTTGGAGACGAAAGTGTACTTAACTCGAAAATGCCAAAAATAGAGTTATCTTGTTTTTGCAGTAACCCCTCGGCAAACGTTTATTTAAAAAAGTAGCGTGATATTTAGCGCAGCGACAGATAAATGTTTTCTTTCAAAATTTTAAAAACAGACGCCTATAGTTTTAAAAAACACTTTAATAACCGTGTTGCGGGCCGCACAAAAAAGCTTGGAGGGCCTCTGGTTGAGTATGGCTGCTCTAGATAATATTCAGATTATAGGACATAAAGATGAACCATATATATCTTAATCTGATGCGCTTGAGCATTTCAAAATGGCGAATTTTTTTGCACATTATAGTAAGGCCGCGAGTTTGCGTCACATCGAAATCATCAGATTATTGAATGAGAGCTTTTTTTTGGTTCACTTAACACCCCCTTAGAAAATCTGACGCGCTCGATTATAATTTTTTTTTTAATTTTCAACCCTTACGAACAGCCACCCGCATCATGCAAATGATCAGATTAAAATACGTACATTATTAAAAATACGTAGGACATTGATGCTATCAATATCTGACGCGCTCGAGTATGTGCATGCAACAGTATTTTTTTACATATTTAAAAATCTATAGCCGCTTCCCGCACCGATGAAAAGGTATATATTATATGACATTTTTTCTTCTTATCATCTAAGCTTTGCAACACAATAGGTCTCTATGATGCTTAGGTAAATCCCCATTCAGCATCTTGAGCTCCCCTACTATAACAGTTTGTGAAATATTAGACATTCATTACCGCATTTCTATATTCTTTAAGGTTGCACATATGGGTAAATTTAAAGATGCTTTGTGAAGTATAATTAAAATTAAAAAAAAAAAAATCAAATAAAAATTTGTTTATTGAATTTTTGTAAATTAAGTCAAATGTAAATGAGAAATAATGATTCTATGTTATTTTTGGTGAGACTACTAAACATGGTACAATACTAAATTGAAAATAATATATAATTGACCAGTCCGAGCATTTTGTAAACATCTGTTTAAATTGAAAAATATTGTGTTTATTCAAAACTGTACATCCTCAGTGAATGTAGAATATTAGAAAATTAGGAATATCGGTTATTGTATTTTCATATAATATGTAACAACAAAGTTGCAGCCTTGTGATATCCAATTCTTGTTTAAAATAATCGAGTGACCAAAGCAGAATATGCCTACTCTTAGAAATCTCTAAGGTCCATATTTATAAACGATCTCAGTTGAGTCGGACTTGGCTAAGTCGTCTAACGAAAATAGAAATTCGGTTTATAACTTCTCCAGAGTTTCAGGTGATTCCGGTGTTGCACTGGAATTTAGAGATGGATGGTGGTAAATCCGTAACTGTTAAGTACATTTACGGATTTACTACTATCTCTAAATTCACGTGTTATAAGCAAACTTCGATTTTCGTTCAAGGACGACTCACCTGAGATCTGTTTATAAATACAGGCCTAATACAAAACCTTGCATACTCTCACTCATTGTCCTGTCATGAACTCATCATGTTAACTTCGACGATAGCACCATTATGTGTCATCACAACAAAAATACTGCTATTAAAAATTGTTATTCCCAATTATTTTGCCAGACACAAATTCTAAATTTAACTTACAATAGTTGCTAGCTGCATATCCATGTTTTGTCTGAGGATGGACTTGACGTGGTTCTGGCTGACTTTGTTGAACATGTTGTTGCTGCTGTTGTTCGTTTTTAGACATTTTTTTTGATTTTTTTTCTTTTTCTGGTTGCGGTGAATTTGGATGTTTATTCCCAAAGAAATTCATAAAGATGAACTGGCTGACATAAATTTTGTCAAAGTCAAAATGTTACATGGTTACCATGACAAACAATATCAATTAATATACATGGTGTCTCAGTTACTGATGTTTTTTTTTTCATGAGATTTTTATAGATATAAACCTATATCCATCAATTCCTACTGTCATAAACAACAGCTTAAATGGGTCAAATTTGAGTTTTTAAATGGAATATGAACAAAACAGAATCAACACTTCCTTAATTTTTACTTTTCTGTCTGTATATAACCTTAAAATCAATAAATAGAGTGTTGGACCCTAGATTTACTTTTTTACCCTAGTTGTTCAATTCAATCTTTATTGTCTCTAAAAAAACTCCTGTTTTTATAACAAAAAGTTTAGTTATTTGTCTAAATTGTATCATAAAAGTGAATTAACCCAATATTAGACATATTAAATGACCTAGACCTTCATTTAATTAATTGTTATACCCTAGTGCAGCACTTAATGTGTTAAGACAGAAACATAAGATTAACTACCTAATTATATATTCGAAAATAAATGCTCTATCTACAATATACCTTCTGGAACAATATAATCTTCACTTCGTCACTTTCAAGTGGTCTTTAAAAAGCCATTATAAATACAAAAATAAAATAATTAAATTAATACCAATATAATAAATGACATCCCTGTGTAAAATCAATTACTATCCTATAGCACACCAGTGTTGCATGCACAATTCTTATTTAAATCATGATCATGACTCGTATGTCTATCTTTGCAGTCATGGCCTATAGAAATATGGGGATCACTTATTATTTACATACATTTTTTGGAATACCACAAGGCACTGTACTTGGTCCTCTTCTGTTCATTACCTACATTAATTCATTACTAAATTTAAATATAAATGGAGATTCCATTTCTTATGCAGATGACACAGTGCTACTTTTTAAAGAAAAACCTGGGAAATTGTTAAAGATAAAGTAATTGCCGGTTTTGAAAGAGTTAAATGCTGGCTTGATTTTAATAAATTAACCTTGAACGCCGACAAAACATTTTACATAGCCTTCTCTATGAATGATGCAAAAATAGACCTAGTTTTAACTGTAATAAAATTAATGCAATACAATATATCCAATAAACAAATTATTTAAAATTTATTTGGATATTTTTATGATACAAAATTATGGTTTTGTTTTTAATTTAATAATTAAAATATTTTTTAGTTTTAGGAGAAATTTGTTATAATTTTTTTAATAAATTTACCTGGCTGTTGATAATTCCCATGTGGTTGTGGAGCAGCTGTGGTAGGAGGTTGTCCATAATTTGCAGGAGGTGGGGGATTTGGAGGGTAACCAGGAGGTTGGTTAGGAGGAGGGACATAACCCTGGGGTGGGTAAGTGGGAGCTTGGTTGGGAGGGTATTGATTCTGGTATTGCCCTTGAGGATAGCCTCTTTGTGGGTAAGGATGTTGTGGACCTGGGGGCCCTCCTGGACGCTGTGGGGGCCCAGGTTGTTGTCTAAAATAAATAAAATATACTTATATATTATAGCCAAATCTTCATCAAAATTAATAATTAGTGATAACAATACCTGTATCCAGCTGGAGGCGGGGCAGGGGGCTGCTGCTGATGATTAAAATTGTTTACATTATGCTGCTGTTGATCATTCGGTGGTGGAGGGTTATGATTAGGTGGAGGTTGAGATGGAGAAGGTCCTGGTGGTTGAATCATCTGCGTGAATATAATTGTCACCATAAAATATATACTATTAGAGTTATGTGTATTAATAGAAAATGAAAAAACTATAATTTAATTGAATAAAAAAATCTTATTACCCAATATATTATGTACAACTTAATACATTTATAGGAGTTTGCCTATAGGTATCAACAACCACAATAATGTCTAGATTATTGTAAGGAAACTGGTCATGTTTGGGTTTTGGCTCAAGAATCCATGTTGTAAGAGTAATATTAGGGTATGGATGGACATATAAAGGCAATTAGAGGGTAAATATGGAACAAGTTGCTAATTGATTAAAGAATAGAAGAAAGAGCTAACTATGCTTTTTAGGAAAATCTACACATTCAATAATTTTTGAAGAAATAACATTTTTTAAGGTTTGATTTTTTATGAAGAGCGCACAGCATAAGTCACTTTTTTTCTTCTAAAAATAAGTTAAATACAGGATAATTATGCTGAACTGGTTTACACAACAATACAGCTCACTGTTATTTCAGAAACAAAAAATGTTGTACAGAACAGATACAGTAAATGTCAGGGACAAAAACCGGTTAAGGCCAGAGTGCGATGTGTGTGAAAAAGAACAAAGACATGATGTTTTTCACATATTATACAATAAATGTTGCAAAAAACAGCCACTACCTCATTTTCCTTAATATTCCTGTGTGAAAAAGAACAAAGACATGATGTTTTTCACATATTATACAATAAATGTTACAAAAAACAGCCACTACCTCATTTTCCTTAATATTCCTGCACTAAGTTTATTTTGGTTCTGAAACTTAAAATTCAGTTTATAGAGAACTACTTTTTTGCTTTGGACTCATCACTTGGTTTAAAAACTAATGCAAGTCAAGAATTGCCTAAATTAATTGGCAAAATTTGTAAAAGTGTAGAAATATGAAATGAAAATGATTGAAGTTATCAACTTCATTTAATATTAACCTGAGACTTAAAAATTTAGCAACACTCTGTAAAAAAATATATAGCATAACTTGGATGCATTGCAATATGTACAAATGCAATAAACAGAACAAGAAAAAACCTTCGAAAATCATTTGGAAAAAACCTATAAAATCTAAAATTAATTAAATGGTGAAAATATAAAACATAACTTCAATTCAAGCAGAGGCAAAGAAAGAACTATCCATCTGAAATGCAGCCATTAGCCAGAGTTGTATTTGCAACAAATGATTGTTTTCAAAAAAAGCTTGATAAAATGTAGGTATCAGAAATAAAATGAAGTTCATCTACTACTAAGGTGTTAGACCAATAAAGCTAATAAGATATTACAAAATGTATTATGGTCAAAAATATTTAAGTAGGTATATCAAAAAACAGGTGCAATATGACAACCCTCTAATTTATAGGATAGGATCGAGGATGCCGATACCATCTATCAAATTCATTACATTATTTAGGGTACTTACAGGCAATAACGAATTAACGTTTTGAGCAGAGTCCGCTAAAGTTGCTAAGTACACCAAGTTTCTATGTAAAGTGGTTTGCATTTGCATCACTTCTTGGGCCTTTCCTTTGCTTTGATGCTCTTGAATAACTTGAATTAAGTGTCCATTTTCATCTAATATTCTCTGAATGCTTTTAGGATCCGGAGGAGGTTTAGGGCCACGCTGTGGAGCAAACGTAGAAGACATTGTCTTGGCTATGTAATATTTTACACTATATTAAATAATTAATAGCGATGCTTATATATTTTTAACACTAAAAATACTATAATTGAATTTATTTAAACATAAAATCAGAACCAGAGCAGTCTTTCAATTTAACTTTAAGTTTTGTAAAATTCTTGAACAATAAAAAACCGAATTTGTGTTTAGAAACCTTTTGCGTTTGCGTCACATGTCACTTTTGCTTTGCGTGACATGTGTCAGTGTCAAATTTGAAATCGATTATCGATTTCTCCCACCTCCCATATTTCTCCATGTGAATCAAATGTCAAAAAATGTGGACTCAACATTGTGTTCAAACAGTTCTTTAATAGTTGGGATAAGATTTTTAAAATATGCTATACTCTGTTTTTAAACTAAGAGGAGCGATTTTAATTTAAGTTGGCAATTCTGTAGCCTTCTGATTGGTCAGATTACAGTCAGTTTCACACATTACTTTTTAGCATGAACATCAGCTAATAATTGATATTATTGACAGTTCTGACATTTTATAATTTGATATCTCATCCATTACTTGTTTTTTATTTTATTTCGTAAATAATAGTTCTTCAGTAAGCAATTGTATTGAAAATCTACAATTATGGATCATTCTACACTGAGTACTATTAAAGGTAGCAATTCCTGAAAAGCCTAACAAGAAAGGGAAGACACCTTATTATTTTACATGCTGATTCTGAAGGTTTTGTAGAAAATGCATTATTGGTTTTTGAAGGTAAAAAGATGGGAGATTACCATGAAGAAATGAATTCCGAAGTATTTTAGAAAAAAATAATTTTATTACTGAATTTTTAAAACTAAAAATTGATGAATTTCTAACCAAAATGATTAAAATGTAACTAAATATTCAAGCAAATTTTATTTATTAGAATAGAATAAAACTATTTACAAAATTGTTATAGCATTTAAAACACCATCTACTACTTTAGGGATAATCTTAATTTGGCACAATGAGTTAACATTATTTTCACAAAAAATATTTTAAAAATACTTAAAATTAATGCATAGGTATGTATGAATAGTTCACTTTAAAAAATATATGTTGACATGTAGTGTTATGAAAATGTTGGTTCCAGTTTTCAAAACAAATTCTGACTCATAGGCCTGTAAACTTTTGAATGCCTTTATTCGCCCTCTAGCGCATTAACCATGGGTTAACACTAAATAAGCCATAATATCCACATTACTCATAAAAGAGATACCAGTTACTGTGTGATCCACTTGTCATTCACTGATTAACTTTTACTTTTTATACCTATAACAAATATATCCTTAAAAATGTAAACAGATCTTTATATTTTATACTAACCTGGCTACATCTGGATATTCCATTAACAATTTTCTTAAATATTTATTATTCATTTTAAAAAGATCATAGTTATTCTCAAAAAGTCGATTTCAAAAGCAAGAAAAAAGTATTTCTGACATCAATCAACAACCATATTGACTTTAATTTGACAGTGACATTTCGTTTTAGACACACATTTCAGATCACAATAATGTGAAATTTGCGACCGTTGTCTGGGACCAATTAAAAAATTACTTCTATGACATTTATTCGTTTCTTAACCGCTCATTGGCCGTTCACCGACTAAGGCCGATGAAGATAATTATTTCATAAATTTTGAACACGACTATATTTCGAAACTCGCTCTTAGTAACAAATCTAGTTACTTTTCCCTGTGTAAATGCGTCTTTTCAATTCGCTCCTCCTAGTTTAAAAACAGAGTATAGAAGCTTTTATCATCAAGAATAAACTAGACTAAAGATATATAATGCTTGTTATTCTATATTATTCTCTTCATAGTATAAGGGTTTTAATCAGATTTTTTTCAGAATCAATAGGGTTCATCAGCTAAAAATTTCATGTTACTGCAGAATCACTGGAAATTATTTTCAAGTTCCTAGCTTTACAGCTAGAGGGCGTCATGCTTATTATTAATGATAAAAACTCCTTAAAAAAGTCAATTATAAAAATCATATTCTAATCGAAATTTTATTAAATTTTCACACCTATTAGTTTATCATTGGTCGTACGCATTTCGGTATCCAGCGGCGCTAAGATATAGCCCGTATTCTACAGCCATCGACATCGACAACCAGTGTCTTTGTACACCCGGTACTTTTAGAAAACAATGAATATCTGTTAAAATAATAATTAAGAATAAAAATTTTTACTGATATTAAATATTTACTGAAAAAATTAATTCATGTGAAATATTTTCTTTTAAGATTAATGATACGTCTATGGATGTTTTCAATACGCCTTGATGAGTAATCGCATTTAAAAAACTTTTAATAATCGAGACCAAAATCGATACTTTCTCGATTCTTGATAATCGACCTCAGTAACTCTACGGGAGTGCGTTTAGAAACCGCGCACGACGCGTCTGATCACATACATTAGAATAGGGTCCAGACGTGCAGTGCGTGGTTTCTAAACGCACTCCTGTCATCATATGTCATTTTCATTTAAAAGTGTGGTTATGTGGTTATGTTTTGAAAGAAAAGAATTTAATTACATTACTTTGAATTTAACTTAAGAAAATGAAAGTAAAACGATACAAAAAAGTCAATAAAAATTTACGATTCTTTATTAACAACTTTGGCTTTAGACAACCATTTCAAGTATTAATAGATGGGACTATCTGCTACTGTGCATTAAATGTAAGTTCTTTTTTAATGAATAGTTCTTCTTATTCCTTTATTGGGCTATAAAAAAAACACTTAAATTGCTTTAATTCCTTTCAGAATAAGATCAATATTGCCGATAATATTCCAAGGTACCTACAAGGTGAAATAAAACTACTAACTACACAATGTGCTATTGTAGAAATGGAAAGTTTGGGTTCCAAACTGAACGGGGCTCTTCTAGTTTTAAAACAGTATGCAGTCCACAAATGTGGACATGAAGGCAAACCAATATCAGGTTCAAAATGTTTTTTGAGTATGTTAGGAAAATCAAATCCGAATCATTATATTGTGGGAACACAGGATAGAGATCTACAAGATAAAGTTAGGGGCATAATTGGTGTACCATTATTATATTTACATATGAAAACACCCGTTTTAGAAAAACCTTCTGATATATCAATTAAAGCCTCTGTGTCTAGATTATCTGCAGTAGGAGCTTCTGAGGCAAAAGCTTTAGAAGAACTAAAGGTGAAAAATGGGTTGTTGCTTAGTAATGAAAAACCGAAGAGAAAGAAAAAAAAGGGTCCTAATCCATTATCTTGTAAAAAAAAGATGAAAAAACCTGGATCAAATTCCACAATATCTAAAAAAGAAGGTCAACCTGAGGTAGAGAAAAAGAAAAGAAAAAGGGTAAAAATATCCCAACATATAAGAGAAGCATTATTACAAAATAAAAACTATTAAAGTTAGATTGTTGTATTTTTTGTAACTAGTAAGCCATACGTTTATTGAACATTTGTATTGTAGCAAATATAGCTGGTGGGCTGCTTTTCAAAATCTTTGGTTGGAAATGTTCTAATATGTGAACAAACTACCTATTTTGGTTCTAGGAGGTTATGATATTTCCTGGTAGATACTGTAACTTGACAAACAGGGCCCTAACCTAGTTTTCCAAATTCCCTTAACCTTAGCCTAAATTTCTTCTAGTGGGTCCCCATGAAGTGATGTTAAAACCCCCACAATTATGTTTAGAGTTCAATGTAGCTGTAATGGAGGAAGAACAAAGTAAACACAGAGATTAAATTGGAATACTGTTTATTTAACATCTATTCTTTTATATAGCCAGACATTTAGATTATGTGCCGTTTTTAGGCTTAACATTATGTTTATGTAGGCTTTCCAATGTGTCATTTCTAACCTCCAGAGATTTTAGTTCCCATAAAAGTGCAAAATAAAAGTCTGAAGTACTTTGGTATATTTGTTTTACAAAGAACAACAGAAAATATTTTTTAAACACAATCTAACTTTAAAATATACACAAATCAAGGTATTGACCCTACTAGTCTACATCTGTTTGCCATTTAAAAGTAAAACCGAAAGTGTGTTTCCTCTTTACTAAAAGGGGCAGGTACTGTTTACGGACAACCAAAACTTTACAATTCAGCCTTTTGGCTATAAATCTAAATGACTTAATTTATTACTTGAGAGTGTTGACCGACTTTACAACAATTAATATTTATGATAACATCACTATCGATTCTCTAAATAGTATAATTTAGCACAATATAAAAACCCTATATTTTTCCCACAATACACGTTTATCAATGAATAGCAAAAATATGACAATAACACACAGACGCGAATTTTCCCGCTAATGAATATAAAAGTAATAAAGTGATACCTGTAACCCATCAATGTTAATCTAAACTCTCCCCCGGAATATATGAATATTAAATACTAGTTTGATTACTTTAATAGTGCGATTATCGTTTTAATTCTACGTAAAAGAAACCTTACAGAAAAAAAGTATTCCGTTGATAAAAGCGTCTACCTGGCGCAAGTTCGTCGGGTCAGCCTTAAGGGCGACGAAATCTACTACGAACGTCGCCTAGAGTAGTACTTTTAATCATTTAGTAACATTTTATAATGTTGATTTTAGTTTTTCTATGAATATTGAATCGGAGATATAAAATATCTGGCGTTTAACTATACTAGCGTGGTCTCACCAGTATCAGTTACGCCAATAGTTTAGTCGCTCGGTAGATGCAACCTTATAAAACAGTTCTAGGAGCGAAATCTGGTTCTATTCAACGTGTATCTGCTTGGTCAACCTAACTATATATATATATCTCCTTTTACTTATATATAAAATATAAGAAAAAGGTGGTCATCCTAAGGACAACTGGATATCTATGCAGAAGCCGTCGTTTATAGAAACTAATTTCTCTACTCCGTCGATATCTTTTATTTCCGTTCCCAAAATATAACAAAAGCGCGGCCACCGTAAGGGTAGCGATATCTCTTTTTAATTATATTTGAAGAATATAAAGAAAAAGGAGTCACCGTAGCGGTAACGTGGATATTTGCGTTTTTTGTTAACTTGACTCGGTGAAGATGAAAAAGCTAATTCCCCAGCCCACAAAAACCCTGGTATTTATACTTAAATTTCCCATATATGCAAATGTATCTGAAAGAAAACGACTGTGAATTCGGTGCATAAAGACTATAAAGTCCTATATTAATTCCTGAATATAGCCCTATCGTTTTACATCTGGCTTTTTGCTAATGGCCGTTACAGTTTACACGTCGATTTATTTTCCCAGAAGTAATAAAATGGCGCCTACGAGTTGGGAGATGCTGGGGGGTTGTTTGAATTCGAAATAAAAATTTGAATATGTAATATATAAGAATTATTAAAATTAATTATCAACCCCCGGTTGTCGGATTTCAATACCCATGTAGATACCTCTACAAGACATTGGGAGATTAAGATCTCCTACATGTACTTTGTACTTCTTACTCATGAAATATTTTTGTTTTGTTTACGTTGGTAATTTCATCTGTTGGTCCAAAAGTCCTAGTGTCATCCTCAAAAAAGTTAGAGCTGTGCAAAAGTGCGATTATTCCAAATCGGCGGCACTCGGATAATTTTAAAGTAAACCCAGACCCTGGACAATAATCGCCAAACCCGAAGTATAACTCAAAATTAAATATTTTATTTTCTGGGGGACTCCCACAAGTCATTAGGCATATTATATTACAGTTGTGAAGCTCTGGATATGTACCATTTTAAATTTACATTGTAACTCTTTTAGAACATTCTTATAAATTTTAGTCTAGGCAAATTTGGCCTTGTATCTTTTTTTTGTTAAAATTGGGAATTTAAGTTAAGCATACCTATTTTTAGGATTACTGGAAAATTAAATAAGGCTTTCTTTATGTTTATTTCAATCATTTTATATTTTTAACATGTGAAATACACAGAAGTCTACTATACATAATTTTCGTTCACAATAGGGTTTTCTATCCACTACATATTGTAATAGACCCCTTAATAATAATTTATTAGATCTACATTTATATCTTAACACACAATTATGTTAAATATTTATACCATACAGGTCAAATTCAATACTTATCATAGAGATTACAAAATAATTTAAAAGCGGGCAAATATCACCAAACAAAGATATAACAAATGGGGACAAAAATAAAAAAAAACTTTCTTTGTAATCACTATGATTTGTTATTGAATTAAATACATAAAGGGCAGATCAACATTAATTTACCAAAAATATTTACTAAAAACCAATAAAGATAGTAGATATTTTTGGTTACTAGTCATTTTGTTGGTCCATCCTGTAAGCTCAGTGGTACTCAAAATTCACAGCAAAGTACTTTGATACAAAATAGGAACAAGTTTGGACTATTTTTAATAAATTATTTTATCTAACCTCAAGTATTTTTAATAAATTAATAAAAAAACTTATGGAAGTATGAAAACTGTATAAAAAGCTTATTAACAATATTTTTAGGCCAATATATCAGTTAATCATATGTTTAAAAAAAACTATTTTTAAGTAAATTAATTATTGTAATGTTGTTTTCTAGGACTATAATTAATTTCAACTTGACAAAATGCATATAGCAAATTTTGAGGTACACTGTATTAAAAGGAATTAAAACGAAACACTGTAATTTTTAATAGTATTAAATAACTGCATTTATTACATTTGTAATTATAATTAGATTGTTTTAAAAACATAAAACTCTGGATAAAAGAACTTGTAAAAATAACTTTACACTATTAATCTACTATAAAACTGATTTTATTCAAAAATAAGAGACCCTTTTCTTAGGTTTACCTTAGATCTTGATTATGCTAGATGCAGCATATAGTAGAATTAAATTTACAAAAGTGAAGACAAAATTTTATTTTGGTCTCTCAAAACTATACGCAATAATGATATTTTTTATAATTACAGCCTAATTTATAATAAAAATGATTTGTTTCCTAAATTACTGCATCTAGAAGCCGTACCTTATCTAAGACTTTTATAATTTTTGGCTTTGCTTTTTATTTACACAATGATCATGTACAGCGTGTTCGGAAATTGTGTATACATGGAGCTACCACATATTTGCGGGCTCAAAATATGTTGATTTAACCCATGATACTATAAAAAGAAGGTATAATACTACGCAGATTGATACTACACGTCACGGTGACGTAATGTGGTGGAAGGCGTGGCTTTTACGAATTTGACGTATTAGCTGATCGAAAACAGCGCGCGAAAATAAATTATAATCAGCTCATGACTAATCAGATAACCATATTCCACACCACAATACGTCATGCGCGAACTCGACGAGATTTCGTCGGCTAAGTATCATACCTCTGTAATTTTTTGTATCATGGATTTAACAAAACTTACTTCGTTTATCATCCATTAGAGGTCAACAAAGTTAAATTTTCTTTAATATCAAGAATTCAGTCATTTTAAAAGATCAGATTTGGTACGAGTACTGGGTGTTTTAGGGCCAATTGAAAGAAGCGGGTACTATTTTTCTTTGCGAAATCTTAATATTTTTTTTTTATAGACGGCATACAGAAGATTCCTACAGGCAGCGTTCTGTATGCCCGTATGCAGTATATAATAGTTTGTGCAACAAGAGTGGATATGATGGACATATCGCACGAATACGAAATTTGAGCACGTATATTTTTTCTACGACCTACTAACAAAAATCTACAAATATTAAAAATTACTTTAGATTATTAAACTAAAATAACTTTTAATAATTTTTAAAATAAAATAAACGAAAAAAAAAACAAAAAGTTCATTCCATTTTTCCCTATCCGAGTATCGAACTTCAGTATTCCGCGTGGAAGACAAGAACGCTAACCACAGGACCACCTACTCTTTTATTTTTGTTGTTTTAATACTCGTAATTAAATTGACTTCATATTCAGGGTTCGGAGGATATATATCAAGTGATATATATCCGATATATTCGATAATTTTATTTATTAAATTAAAAATGTTTTCCACCATTCTAAACATCCGAAAATGTCTCAATACGCCCTTAAGTCATTTTTAGTAAATAGGGGAGTTTTAGTTCAGTTATGCCAGGACCATAAATATGTTATCGAAAGTGACATTATAAAGATAGTCAGTGATGCCCAGGATGCATTAAATGCCACTAACCTAATTGCTTGTCTAGATCCAATAGCCCCATGGCTCTTGGTAGAGTTCAAAGATACTATACAACTCAATCTGTGTGTGTAAAGGTGTGGCATAAATTAGAATTGGATTTCTCAGGACAGCCACTTTTAATAAAAAAAGTTTAAAAGAAAAAAATATGGCATTTGGGAAAATTCATTATCTAGCAAACATTATTGATCGCCAATTTTTGGGACGGCATTTAACAGTTACCCAAAAATTTCTTTTGTTCCATTTGTA